TGTTGAATTCGTGCGTTTCGTCCTGTTCTTTGTACACTTTACGTCTTCTCGACGTAAAGTCTTTTAACCTCAATCCCTAGAAGATTGTCGTCATTTTGAGACTTTTAATTCCACCTTGCCAGAAATTCGGGCGAATCTCATTAGAATCTAGGAGAATTATTTCGTTGGGTCTTTGGAGTTCGACCTGCGTTACGACGTGTCTCGGTGCACGAATGGCTGCACGAAATAATACGTTCGTAAGAACCGAGGTGCGCCATTGTCCGGATGCAGGAGGGCGCGACTACGTCTTCCGGATTTTGAATGCCGCGATGGGCTGGTGAACTCTGTCGCTATTAAATGGGGAGTTAAAGGATGTATTTATCTTATGCAGAATACCGGCAATCCTAATGAGGCCATTTCTACGCTCGAGTAGCCATAACGAAGGTACTTTCTCAAATTGTTTTTCTTTTTCGAATTCATTATACGTATTCGTTCTTTGGAAAATTCGGCGAAAATTTTTCTTTATTTTTTTTTTGCAAGATTCATGAAAATCATGGTAATACCTCTGAGTAGCAGGAAAAATCGTAACAAAGTCGAGTAAGATTGTAAATAATCGTATAAAGTGGAAATTTTCATTTCATAGATATATTTTGAATAATTGTATCATTCATACGAATTTTACGGTCGTTGCATTATTCGTAAAAAATGTCATATGTAAGATCGCGTCCTTCGCGGGTGCCTTTATTAATTGTACACGACTATCTGCGCTCGACGCTAAATAACTCATTAACCGAATTAGGAGACCAATAAAAATTAAGTACTTTTCTTCTCCCATTGGAGGGTCGATTCGTCGGTGCACTTGGAGCATTTATTTCTAAGAAAGAATTCACATTCGACAGTACTGCACTGTATGGAAAGAGGTATATATAGAATCGGCTGCTACGAAAATATTTTATAAAAATGCATTGAACGACAATTAGATCATATCGATGTTTAGATACACCTACTATGTTCAAAGTCCGGAAATTTAGTTTTTGCAACGCTGTACGGAAAGTATACAGTTTGTGCACCAAAAAACAAGCACAAAACGGTCCATTCTTGACAAGTTCAGAGTGTGCGGGAATCATAACATTCCCGCACGGGAACACATCAAGAATCGGCCATTTCGTGCTTCTTTTTGGTGCATATCCTGCGAACTTTCCGTGCATTGTTGCAAAAAATAGTATATGACACGCATGCGGGTTGGTGATTCCTACTCGTGTGACGTTTGCCACGATACTGACTCGTGTCACACTCGTAGGAATCACCAACTTTCCGCACTTGTATCATAATGTACTATTTTCAAACTAACCGTAGACTTTTCGGTTCCGGCGTTACGGTAAAATTTGTTATTCGCTATATATTGTTTTTTTTTTTTTTTTAACAGACATCTATAATTGCTACTACAAGTAACACGTATTTTGTAGGAGATTTTGATGATGCAAGTGACGGAGGTTATAATTTTTTTTTTTCTTAAAATATATTGGAATAAACCATCCGTGATTATAAAGCTGTTCTGACGTATCGTCTGTTTCTTTAGAGAAGTTGTTTCTTAATCGAAGAATTCAAGATGTCATTGAGTTTGGTCATTGTCCTTTCCCCACAAGAATTTTGCATCTGTTATTTTTAACACATCCGTAGGTGAATACAGTGACGAATCTAAATGGAAAAATGCCAGAAGGCCGAGCACCGGCTCCGCGCGATTTGCAGTCAATCGAAAGATGGCGCCAACGTGTAACTTTTTTATTTCCCAATCGCTACAATCCATTAGTTCCGTGTGGGTAAGGAGCTTTTCCAGAACGATTGGCATGTTACTCTAGACTTCTCTAGCTAATCGAGTATGGACCCAGCAACTATGTGTCTCGGTATGTTCGCGTAATCGATTAAAAATTATTCGCAAGACTTTTAGTTATTCAAATCGGTTCTCTCTATCAATACATTAGTACCACGTCAAGGTTAGATGCCGGGAAGAGTCCTTGAATTTAGACTCCATGAAAATTTTGCCTGGCAATCTCAGATGATTCGCTCATCCTTTGATCGACGGTGGCTCGTTTTCGAAATTGTTATGAGCGTTTACTCATGATTCTTTTTTTATTTTCTCTTACGTTACTGCGGAACTTCATGACCTGTAATACACCTCAGGTCAACGGATGACTATTTTGAACACATTTCGGATGTTCCTTGCCTGACCGCAATGACAAGATGCATCAGTCATACCGACCAGTTATTAGTGGTACGAGTGCCTGGATTATATTGATTAAATATTAGACCTAGTTTTTTTTAATCAATTTGACATCCGTTCACAAATCTGATAATACATGCATATTCGTGACACGTCAAAGACGTTTCGAATGCGAGTTAATGAAAATATCGATTTCGAATTTTTGGAAAATTCTACTCCTCGACTAATGTCACCTGTCACTATTAGACCATATCTGTCCACGTGAGATTAATTAAAATTACACCCCACTGAACATGTCAACGACTCTAGTTTCAAGTATCTCATTATTATTATTATTCATATGGAAATAATTATCGTCACTGATTATGTCACCGTTGCATTTTACAGGAGGCAACTCTCTAATGATTCGGTTGAAAATAATTGATAAGCACTCAAGGTACTTAATTTCAATGCAATTTGCAAAGCAGAAATACATTTTTCGGATAATTACGAACTTTAAGGTTTCACCTAATGAAATTTCGTAAATTAATTCCTCGTTATATAAATTTTGGCAAACCCTTAAAAACAAGGTCTGCAAGGGTCCTTATCACTTAATCTCCACTCTTCGTACTGGCACGTTTTCGTCTCAACGTTCGTGACGCGATTATAAACTGTATGCAACGTTCTTTTTATCGTTGTTAAACGACGATTACCCAGGTGCATAATTCGTAAGATTTGGCCGTAGGATACGAGGTACACTAAATCAGTTTTTTCATCCTGTCGAATTCTCATCCCATATGGAATCCTAAGTGAGTGTCGTTAGGCACGTATCGCGAGTCATGCGAAACATTCTCGATCTTACAATTTCACGAAACGTGGGGGAATTTCTCATTCGCATTGCAAATTTCTCACGCACTCCATGGAAACTTCTTACATCTCTTACCAACCGCGTAATTATTCCTGTGATCGTAATACCGTAAATGCATCTTGCAGAAGGTCGTGTACATACATACATACATTGGAAACATGGAGAAAACGAGATTCGAATCTACTCGAATTGCCCTGCAGTCGCTACTCACTTTGCCAGGAAGTATCGGTATGCCTTTTACTCTGTTTCCTCTCTTTGACAGAATGACGGCCATGACCAACAATTCCTGTCCAAGCATACACAATCAAGGCCGCGTTGTACGTTCTATGTTTTACTTTTCTTGGTTCGATCGTTTCGGTACAAAAAGTTACTCCGTGCCCATTTATTATTGATCGTTCGTGCGACCGTGATAGGCTCGATCGATCGGGTACTTGTAAAGTGTAATTGTCAATCGAATTTTTAAGAACCAAACGCATGCGTTTTTACAACGTTAACGTAACAGTTATTGATATATGAAAATTCGTGGGACTGTTTGGCTAACGCGTTAAGGACACAGTATAACCAACGTTGAATCAGTCACGCTATTGGAGCACCCGAAACACAATGTAACGAATTAGCCTCGCGGTAAGTTTAAATTGAAGCGGTCGCCGTAAGCGAATAATTCGTTCTCAGAATGGCAATGGTTTAAATAGGTACGACGAGGATATATTCAATTCGTCCTTATAACGTCAGTGAATTGAAACTCTTCATAGGATTCGTTATGACGGTAATATATGGTTTTAAGTTTCTTAATAGTATTTTGATTATACGGTTTAAAAGAATTTTTAATTATGCAATAATATCGATGGAATGTGAAATTAACATTTTTATATGATATCCTCGATGGCAAACACGTATTTACATAAGTTACACATGATAAATATGTTGTTATTCGAATGTCCTATAATTCAATATTCCTATCTCTGTTCCCTTTAGATAATTAATCTTTTCGTATCGGCTAATAAGAGTCCCCTGTCAAAACGTCCCACGTTCTCGAATTCCGTATATCCATACTAAGCTTGTATCGCTGTAATAGAGAGCCTGCACTTTCCGTTTCTCGTTCCGGGCAAGTGTAGCCAATGTTGGCTCGCGACTGGCTCGACCATGAATTTTCGAATGACATGCAGTTATGTTTGACCTGGTTTGAAGGTGTCGCACGCGCGCACTGATTATTCGTAAACTTTTGCAATTGCCTAATTGAACCTATAGCCGGTATCGCAGAGCTACCTATACCGGTACCCTCATGGACAACAATTGTTAATTTACTTGTAAATTTACAGTAAAAAATAACGTTTCTGTGAACGTGAGAAACTTTTATTCCCCAGCTACGAGATGCATCGGCCATCTTGTTCCTTGACCGTGATATTAGTTTACTCTAGCGTACGTATAAAGGAGGTCAACAGATTATGCTATCTCGCAAATCGCATAATCTTCGTGCGAGCCGCTGACGTTTCTTTGAGGATAACACATTCCGCATTTAGCTGCTGTTTTCTGCAGACTTGTCTATGTTTACTACGCACGAGGTCAGATCCATCCTACAGCTGGATCTCTCGTAACGCTATGTTAAGAAGCGTGGAAAAGAGTCACTACTCACTTCAGTATTGCATATTCCACCACCTACTTTTTTAAATGTTCATTTAATATCTGCTTTCCTTAATCTGCCTACTCTGTTAGATATACATTTTTTGACTTCGATCAAATTTTTGTCAGCCATTTATACATTATTATTCTTCGTAAAATTTCTTTTCACTGTCGATTCTCTGCATTCGCGTGAATTGTCCTGTGGATCGAATTGAATTACGGATACGGGTGACACAGGGAGTTATATGGATATCAAGGAATATCGCTTATGTGGATTAACACTGTAAGACGTCACGGTATTGTTTGTTGTAATGGTTTACTTTATTGTTACAGGATTTGCGAGAGACAGAGAGGAGCGGATCGTGATGACGAGAGAGACGAGGATGACGACGAGGATGAAAATCCATTAGGAAGATGGCCACACGCCTTGAGTCCTGCTCTTGCATGTCTAGGATGTACTCTTGGTCTCTTCAACATCAGCAGGTTCGCCATCCTTAGCATACAATTTGGAGGTAGGTCGAGCGAGGATGAAATTACTACACGGAAAATATGAGAATTTTGAATTAATATAAATTGTCTTTTTTCTAGCAAATTTCATTGTTCAGTTCCTGGTATTGTCTCTGATATTGGGCATACCCCTATTGACCCTACAAGTATGCCTGGGTCAGAGACTCGCAGCTGGTGCCGTGGACATGTGGAAAATTTCACCCCTCTTTCAGGGTGTCGGAATTGCTCTTCTCACTGCACAGGCTTTCATTGGAATTTACAGTATAGTCGGTGTCTCATGGATGTTTGTTTACTTCAGGTAAGCCATTCGTCCATGCTTATTCACTTTATTGATGAATAGTATGCGACGCCATTGATATAGTTGCTATCCGCAAAGTGTATGACGCAACGTTTTCTTCTCAGAGATTCATTCATCACGAAGCAAGACAGGTATCGATGGGCAGAATCATTTCTTCTCTATAGAGAAGACACCAGGCCTACACACAATGGCACCTCGTACAAGCTGCACGAAACTGTTCCCGATTACTTCAGCGGTGCCGTTCTGCAGAGGCATCATCTCAACGAACCTGATCCAGGAGTCGTGACCCTTAAGTTTCAAGTGGCATTTAACTTGGCCGTAGTATGGATGATCGTGTTCGTTTCATTGAGCAAAGGTGAGACTCCTGACACGAAAACGAACTACCAATAATTGTGAAAGTGACTTGTGATGACTAGTGATTTATATATTTTTCTCAATGCTCTGTTACAGGTCTCAGATCGTATGGCAAAGTGGTGTATGTCTTTACCCTAGTCCCGGTATTTGGAACTCTTGTCCTTTGCACAAAGTTATTGGGGCTCACGCCAACCGGCTCTATCCATCAATTGTTTCCTGCTACTGTTTGGAGTGAATTCTTCATTAACGGAAAATCGTGGGTAGCTGCTTCTTCCGAAGTCTTCCTTACTTGGGGTTTACTCGGATCCGCCGCCATGCAGGTAAACGAAATTCAGATTGTACTTTTAATGCTTTAAAATAATTTTAATTTAGTTCCTTGTTCTATCGTTTAAATTACTTACAGATTGCTGCGCACAATAAGCACAAGCATCTTTTGCAAAGAGACACGAGCCTCGTTGTCGTTTTGACATTTGTGGTTCTTCTGTTATCCGCCTTTCTAGCCAATACTTGCGTTCAAATTTTACGAAGTCACGGATACGTGTACACTACGAGCTCTTTCGGTGAGTCCGTTATATTTACGGATTACTTAGAATTTTCATTTCATTCGTTAAAGTATATTTTACATTGTTATTATGTTTACGATTCAGCATTGTACAGCCTTTGCCTTTCGTTCCAGAAAGAATATCAGGGTATACGTTCATGCGTCTTGTCAATCAACCAGCACCACCTGGTTATAGCAGTACTCCTGAAAGATTTATGTCACATGCATCCTTTCTGGTTGGTCAACGTGTTCTGAGACCCGGTGCAGACCTCAGCATTGAATCAGGCTATCAAGTATTGAGACTCTCTACTGAATTGGTACCAGCAACCTTGGCACTTTTGGGCACTGAACAAGTCTCACCGTTCTGGGCTGTATTATTTTACTTCATTCTAATTCTTTTTGGAATTGCTCAACAGGTAAGCGATATAATTCGATAAATTTTTTTGGAATATTATTGTTGAAAGCATTAGGTAATATTTCAAGTGTACCTTACGCATATACATCCATTATATTTATTATTCTTTTTCTATAGCTGGCTATATGGCATTGTGTCATTACTGGAATAATGGCCATCAATACAAAAATGATGAAACTCTGGGAAACCACAATTACCTTCTTCAGTTGCGCCTGTGCATATATCCTGGGACTTCCTATGGCCACGGAGGTAAACAGTCATTCTACTTTTCTTCCTATTAGCATTCATGAGATATAAGATAGCGTGAGATACCAGAAAGGGGTGCGACCTCGTTTCAAATCTTTAGTCAGCATGCAGGTGAGTAAAACGAACAAATATATCAGTGACACACTCACTACCGTCCTATCAGAGAGAGAGAGTTGGGAAATCGTTAGTTCAGCTAGATAAGTCTTATCGCGCGAGATCAATTTTATATACGACTCGTGACATCTTAATATCTTTAGTTTCCTGAGTGCTTGCGAAGTGACACATCGCGGAATGAATAGCAACGTTAATTCAATTGTACGCAGAAGCGTCTCTTGCTATTTCTGTAATGAATTTTTTGAAGAACGTTATTTACCGGAACACGTCAAACACTGTTGTGCCGTACTGGAAGAGTGTCCAAAGAAGTGTGGAGCGTACGTGCCTCGACGTAACATGGAAGCTCATCTGCGTCAGTGTGTGGAGAAAAAAGTGAGGAATATACACCCGTTGGAGACGCAAAATCAGACGCAGAGCGATTTGTTATGGAGGGACAAGATTTTCTCGATTTTGAGTTTGTTACGTTCCGCTGTGGACGGCAGCGAACGAGAAAGAAAACGATTGGAGGAAGCTGTAACGCTGAGTATGAAAAACATTGAAAGAAAACATGCCGACATGGAAATCCTACGACTGAGCGTTCTAGAAGATACTGAACGAGTGCGTCAGGATTCTGTTATTTTTGAACAACGACTTCTGGCACTGGAAAGAATTTTTAATGAGATCGATCAACATACCAACTTCAGTTTCAAACAAGTCGCGGAACAGTTGGATTTCATACAAACTGAATTAGCAGCTGATAGGAATAAGTGCGGCGAGATGATTAACGAGTGGCAAACAGAATTGAAAGGATTTAAGACATTTTTGGCTAAAGAGAGCGTCATGATCAGTGGGATGTGGCATGAGCAATTGGAAAAGATGCACGACATGAAGCTTGAATTGGAAATGAGATGTAAGGGCAGTAGGGAATTGACGGAGAAGCATGATATTCTATCTGAAAAAATTGATATACTTGTAAGGGAGATGCGAAATCATTCAGAGGCCATAACAAATCAAGCGAAGGAAATTAAAACGTTGAAGTTTCAAATGAAGGACAACGTTAAGTATGTCGAGGATTTGATTAAAGATAGCTTAATTCAAAGCAAACTACAGGACAGTGACGAAAATGATGTTTCCAAACATACCGAACAGATATCTACAAATGGTCGCTTGTTATGGCGGATAGATCGTTACAAGGAGAAGATGACTGATGCTAAGGAGAACGACACTGTATTGCGTAGTCCTATATTTTATAATAAAGATTACGGATACACTTTAAGAGTGGAATTATTTTTGAATGGAAGAGGTCAATGGAAAGATCGACACATTATCGGATGCTTACGTGTAATTGATGGCAAGTGGGATCCGTTATTGGATTGGCCTTGCGTTCTACAAGCTACTGTAACCTTAAGAGATCAAGAGAATCCGGCAAATGATATTCGAAAGATTGTCAAAGTTACGAAGAAACTGAAGGATGGCGATTCTCAAAAACCAGACAATGAATCGGGATTGTATATGTTCATACCTCATACTAAATTAACAAGATACCCGGGATACGTGAAAGACAATGTCTTATTTCTAGATATACAAACGAGAGATTTAAAAATTGGTGGATCGACTCCATCGCTAATATCATAGATGAATAAGATAAAACTAATGATAATATTGGCCGTGAAAGCCTAAAATCTCAAGATAAAACTACTAAATTCAATTCAATATTTATAATCGTAAAACCTGTTTCCGGACTTACTATGAATCTCACTGTAAATACGTAGCCATCGATATAATAAATTCATTTCTATCTCGGGTGCGCACTTTAATAGTATGATAATTCATTCTTACTGGGACACGTCATCTTGTTTTCTCAAAACATGTGTGATGCGTGTTGCGAAAAGCACGTGTGGAATGCTGCGAGTGATAAGAAGCTAATCTTTCTAGGTATCTAAGTTAAAATAGAAACATAGTATTTTAATTTACGTTTTATTAATTCCATGATATTTATTGTAATTATTTTTTTTTTAGTTGGGCATTTACGTAGTCTATTATCTCGACTATACGATTGGCGGCGGCTGGTGGATAATGGTTCTCTACTTGGTCCAAGTTGGAGCAGTATTTGCAGTAAGAGGTCGTCCACATACCGGCGAAGCCGTTGTAGCTGAATTATTTCCACCCACGGGAAGATGTCTGAGACATTGGGCTGGACCACTCTTGTCGTTCACGTGGAATGTAATCTTGCCTGTTACCTTAATGGTAAGTTTTATATCAATAGTGCTTCTAAGACAGTTTTATACTCGACGATTCTATTTAACACTTAAAATAAACAATGCTTATTCCAAGGTACTCAGTATTACCGTATTCAAGAGCAGTGGCTTTCGAGAACTGTATACGTACCGAAAAACAAGCAGGGATTACTGGTCTGTGTGGGCAAGACAACTGGGAGCTGCTATACAGTTGATACCAATTTTAATGATTCCAGCCGTGGCAATTATTCAGACTTGTCGCTATCTTAATAGTGGACCGCCGGATATATTCGATGTAAGGGTTCGAGTGAGTTTTGTTATATTTTTAGATCCAGTGTAATTGTAACCTAATTATTTTAAAACTGACTAGTAGTAACGCGACCTTTGTTCCTTTGATATTAATATACTCAATTTTACAAATCATTATTATTCTTCCTCTTTCATGCAAACGTTAGAACGAACAAATGGAAATTAACGTTAGTCACTGTGAGCAGTGCAATGGCGTAAGTCAAATATTCTCGCGAAAAATTCACAACAAGCGCGTCCTACTTTGTGAAAACTCTTTCCATAAATTCTAACAATCTTCTCTTTACTTCAGAGAATTCAGCTGCTCTATAGACCATCACTGGAGCCTGAGGATCCTAGAGATGCCCAAACGCAAATTGGGAACGATACATCAACGAGTATCCATGGTAACGGAATCTTGTCATCAACAACAGACATTCCTTTCGAAGATCCTCCACCGAAGTACACACCACCTCCAAGTTACACCACAGCCACTGGTGCGAGGATAGCAAAAATGTTACGTCAAAGTTTCCGCAGAAGTGTGCGAAGAATAGCAAATGTTCTTGGGGAAGGTAGTGGACCAAGACCAAGACCATCATTGCAGCCACCTCCTCCTGATTATGCCACCGTCTTGGTTGAGATGAATCAAAGCGTATCGTCACGAGATATTTCAGTTCACGTGTCGGAACCCATACCGGACGTAACGGACACCAGAAGAGGAAGGATCAACGAGATGGATAGACATAGGCCAAACACTATCGACAGGACAACAAGAATCAGCACAATAGATAGAAGCGCTGTAGAGCGAACTCATTCAACAATGGACAGAAGTCGGAGACCACATAACAATCCTGGTAGTTCAAATTTGACTGCTGCAGATGTGGCGAACTTGTTGCGTAGCAGCATCCGTCGTGGTACAGCGCGAACTCAACAAACTTTACGTAGGAGCTTTGCTAACGAGGAATCGACAGGTGCAGCTTCCGTTGAAAATCTGGTCGAAGCAGCCGCTCCGATTGGACAGGATTCTTTGGTCTATCCGAAGGATGTATCTCTAGTCTCTGAACAAGATGATGATAATGACGATGATAAAAAGACTGCAGATGAAATAGAGTGCTCCGTTTCTGTGATATAGACTGGCCCTTTGACGTGCAATGTGATTCTAATTCAATAGCTCTTTGACTATGTGCACGATTACGATATCGCTCTATACTTCAAAATACAACGTATCTGTTGTAACTTCCAGGTTGATTCCTCGTAGTATAGACAATTTTCGGTTATTGCGAGGATTTTCTGTTGGTTTCAATTTCGTAGTTTACTGTGCGAGTTCGTGAACCCCGTGAAAAATATTTAGTACTTGCAATTAGGTGAATATAACTTTATATTGACGATCAAGAAATTCCTGCATTTATGTAATATCAATGTAATTAGGGTTGTTTTGTGTTTCGAGCGAATCGTGGCTGCAGTTCAGCTGTCAGTGATATGTGAATGAATCATTGTGAAAAAATTATTATGTTAACGGTGCGTTAGACTTATCCTAAAAATATTATTCAATCGGCGTCTTTCCGATGACATATTAACTGACCTGTCAATGACGTGATCTTCAAATGAACATTTCTTTGTGCATTACATTTCTGCAGTAAATGACTTAAATCTATGTGACATGGATGTGTCATTATTTATGTGTCATTAATTACCATCGTTAATTCGAATGTTTATCTGCGTTGATGTTATGGAGTAATCAAATGATTATCTTTTGTAAGTTACTTTTTTTTCTCGACGTTAGTGCGTTTAATATTTATATTGTCGTTTACGTAGTTTGATCGTAACTTTGAAAGATGCATTGAGTCAGAAACATATTGCGTATTTGAATCTGGACGTTCGTTTTGAAAATTTCAAACAGATTTATAAATGTGTTCAAAGGCATTTAGTTGTATTAATCAAGTGTGCTTGAAGCGATTTCGAGAATATTGAGATTGCGCAAACTACACTTCGTTGTAATATACTTACACGCTTCTTCGTTTATGGAAGATTTGTTATGTAAATACATTTCGTATTTTTATCCTTTACTTAACGGAACTCCTATTTCCTAAGTATTTTATTCGTAGATTATAACTGTTTGATTCTGCGAGTGATTAGTCCGTCCAGTGTGTCAGTGTCTATATCAAGATAATTTTTTAATGTTTTAATTTTCGCAATAGAAAGTCGCAATGCACAGTTTGCATTTTTGCAATAAATTGATGACCTCATCGTCCGACATTAATTACAAATGCTCTATGTATTATTGAGTGCATCTTTTTGGCATGCCTAATGTCGCAATAAGATAATTGAAAATCACATCACCATGTACATTAATCAATGTTCTCATTTAATGTGTATAATCTAAAAAGCTTTTCCTATGCTAAGTGTAACTGCTATACCTGATATTATGGACCACAATAAAATTTTTATGTTCTTTTGTAAACCCTTGTGTTATAATTTCGTAATCATTTATAATCGAGCTGTAGGTTGAACTTAATTGATACAAATATGTACCAGAAATGGGTAGAGAGATGCACAACGCTACGGTTTTAGGCGATACCAAAAACATGGCGCTAAATCGTAGCGGCGAGTCCGGGAATAGAATTTTGTGATCATCGCCTCCGTCGATAATGCATATCCCGTCGTAGCCGAGCTGAACGTGATCACGAACGGGTAGCCTGGCGGGCAAAGGTTCTCCACAACTTACAACTGATTCACAGAGCAACCCTTAGAAAGAGGCCGCTTATGAGATATTGCCTAAATCTTTTTTTTTTGTAATCTTAAATTCAAATGTACAGTGTAAGCTCGATAAGATTTACTAAGTCCCAGAGCAACCCTTAGAAAGAGGCCGCTTATCAGATATTGCCTAAATCTTTTTTTTTTGTAATCTTAAATTCAAATGTACAGTGCAAGCTCGATAAGATTTACTAAGCCAAAAGCCAGCACCTTATGCCTGCCTGTGTTAAGGAGTGCAGCGATGCGGTACTAGCTTCCATCATTATTTAACAATAGTTCCAAGCGGAACTATGGTCCCAACATTGAGTACTAGAGAGAATTATTCCGGAACTGTTTGAAACACAACCTGAAAACAACACTGAAAGCCAGCTCCTTATGCATACCTGCACTGAAGCATATGGTGCGACTAGTATCCTTAATAGGTATTTTAACGATGTTACGTAGCAGAACTGTTGTTAACACTAATCGTACCATCGACGGGTCATTTGACCCTTTTAAAGCCAAAAATACGTTTATAAAAAATTGTCGGTATGTTTAGTGTTAAAACCTATCTGGAACTATAGAACTCCTCGAGAGCTATTGAAAAAGCCTATTGTTGAATCATATTCAAGAGATTTTAAAAAAGTGCAGTGACACCCCTGGAGCTGACACCCATGTAGCACCTCAATTTTTGGAAAATTCCTATTTTAACGATGTTACGTAGCCGAACTATTGTTAAAATCTATCAGGAACTATAGAAATTTTAGTTAAGTGCGTAGCATGTACAGCGCTCAGACAACAATTTCTGAAGTTCTTCAAGAAAGTATCGTTTGTACCTCTTTCCAATCATTCCCTTTCGAAAGAGTATAGTCTCTAGTATATCTCCACTGCGTTCCATCGTTTGTACCTTCATAGTTTTCTTTTAAATTCAATATTAGTGCGCAGCAGGTACAGGGTCGAGACACCATTTTTGTGAGTTTTTCAAAACATTTATAGGTAGTATAGTTATAGGTAGTAGAAAAAGTGTAATAATCCGTATGCGTGCGAGAGAGACGCAATTAGAGCCCTGCTATGCTAATGAAACGTACGCGTTAGGAGCATTACAGGGTGCGTCAACGATATCCTGAAATGCGAACAATTGTCGTGCACCGATCAGCCTGCATCGTCACTCCAGAGCATCGTTGACGAACCCTGTACGAGTTGTAATTGACAAACCTGTCGTAAGAGGGCATCACTTTTGTCAAGGAGTACTCGAGCGGGGGGGGGTACCCAGTGCTATGCAAAGAATGTATTATTGGTGCAGAGGTCAGTCTTTCGAGAGCCGATCTCTTGGAAACCGCGTTTTGCCCGGACTCGCCGCTACGATTTAGCGCCATGTTTTTGGTATCGCCTAAAACCGTAGCGTTGTGCATCTCCCTACTGATCTCTGCTCTCATCTCTGCCGTTGGTTCCCAGAGCAACCCTCTGGTTAAAACTTAAACCGCCAGCTGACGTAAAGTATCATCTACCAACGTCGATTACAATAAAAGAATAGCAATATATAAACGCTTTCTATTGGACACTGTTATTTCATTTATTTAGATGCCGTTGAGTAACATTACAAATACTATCATGCAGTGTTTCAGTTTACTTTCGAAAGGTTTCGATGTAATCTTATTTCATAGAGTAAATATTAAAAGCAGAACATTAGAAAAAGAATTAAATATCATGTATATCACAAGCTATCGGTCGCAGCCATTGTTTTTAAATATATACTGCGTTTGCATTTTAATTCCGCTACAAAGTATAAACAGAGATCTTTTAAATGTACATTACTTTAGCACATGCGCTCTTCAGCTTGAAATTCATGCAGTACAAACTGTAGGACGATAAATATTTTGTTACAACATTTCACGATAACTATTAGAATGTTCATTTGTAAGTTTACCAAGGGAAGTAAATCTGATTGGAACATAATCAACTGAATGCATATTCGGTATTGGTATTCATTGCACGGGTTGCACAAAATTCCATCGTTATTGATGGATCTGAATATATTAAGATTTATCGAATTTCTTCTCCATAAAAGTCATTCTAATTTAAGGCAGTGGATGTCAAAACAGCGACACCCCTCTCATAAAAGCTATGTTGCTCTTGGCCTGAAGCGATGTTCAAATCTACAGTAAATAGAAGTTCTGTTCGTGTGCTGTTTAGATAAACAGGTAAAGACAATTTTCCTTTCCTAACTTCTTCGCTAGCAGAGCGAGTCCATCTCAGCATTGTTACTGGTAAATCAGTCATAATAGTTGATGTAAGGTATAACTGATTATCTTTGCACTGGGCTCCCTGCAGTTTCAATCCGGTGACTGCAAAGGAACAATCATCTGTAGCGATGTTATCGCCGTCCCCAATAGTTACATCAAGCTGGAGCTCTTCCAGGGACCAACTGTTGGCCTGAGCAATACACTGTCTCGTTGCAGTAATATAAGCCTCTGGATTTAATAATCCACCGAGCCAAACTGGGAAACTCTGAAATACAATCAAATTGAAGTATAAAATGTTGTTAGGTTTGAAAAATTATTATTTAAATGTTGATATGCATACCTTGATTTCTTTCGCTCCTCCCTGAGATACGAGTCTGGACACCTCTTGTAATTGGGTGACTCTGTGGCTGAAGTCAGTGATCCATTGTATTACGGTACATCCTCTAGGTACCGTGTACCTTCTCCATCCACCAGGTAAAATACCCTTTACCAATTCAGACAGCATTGTTCTATGATAATTTGTTTGTTTCTTCTCACCCTGTTGAAAGAAAATAAATAGATATATGTAACAATACTAGTCAGTTATAGCTACTCTTTAACTTTTTACAATAAACTTACTTTACAAATTAGTACGACATCCTCCAAGTCATGAATAACATCTTGAAGTAGTCTAGCTCCACTATTAACTTCTCTTTCGAAGTACCTGTACAACGGATCTTTAATATTTTCCACAGTTCTCTTGAGAGTAGGCAGATTTTTCGGCAACAACTGTAGCCACGTAGATGCAGAATTATGCAAGGTTCTCATCCATGATGGGCGTCCATCAGCTTCAGCTTCACGTGGAGTATCTAGGGACTCTTCGTTAGAATATGCTAGCTCATCCTCATCCTCCAGTTGCTGCATTTTTAGAAGTTTTGATACCAAATCTGTTCCTCTAGTGGTAAGCAGGACCTTTTCTGCGTTATTAGGTAATCCTAACCAGGACGGTGTTTGTCTATCTGACAAGGATTCAATCCACTTCAGGAAGTGATCCCGTCTGTTACCATCGGGCATAGTTATGTGACGTTGATTTCCTTGAGCACCGTCAACATTGGCAACCAGAGCAAAATCAGCTTCGAAGGATCTAGGCGTGAATAATTTACGCAAGAAAGAAGCTAATAAACGTTGATCGTAATCATTGTCAATTTTGCCACCATAGATACATTGAGACAGAAGTGTCACCAAAGCATCCCATGGTACTTTCTCTGGTGGAAGATTTGTTCTACCCATTGCTGTTGCTTCTATCCAGGTGTCAAGGGTGTCGCAGGCGACCCTCAGATCACTTTCATTGAACTCATAGTGTTTGGCCCATCCTAAAGGAGCATAACGAAGACGTTCCTGAACGATGGCGTGGAACCATGCCAACAGGAAGTACAGGCGAGCACGTTCATTAGGTGCTTTCATCATACGTGAAGCAGGTACAGTGCTGAAGGTACGCAGCAAATTTGCCCTGATACCTGGAGGTGGTTCGAATACGAATATTCTACCAGCTCTGAGTAGATTAACTGGTACTTTAGGATTAATTTCCATGGTGAGGAAGAGTCTGAAGTTTGCATGCGGCTGGATACTGTGTAACTTCTTCTCAAGTTGTACCAACCACTGAGGTGCAAGATGTACATTTTTCAAGAGTACCCATCTTCCAGCTTTAACGGCCATGTTAATGGCTCTGTCAGCTTGATTGAAACCTTCTGCGGAACCGATAGCGATACTAGCAATTTGTTTTCCTAGCTCTGCCGCCAGGTCGTCAACTCTGCTGGAAGCGTCGAAACCAGGTACAGAGCACAGAAGGGCTGGCACAGTAGCTTTTAGTTGATTTTCCACGACGGAAGCAAAGTCCAGTTCGACCTCAGCTGCAGCCATGAAAGACTCACCAAGAGCTGAAGTCACTACTAACGAAGCTGCAGCAATTACACGATCTGGCCTGAATGCTTGAATTATTAGTAGCTGATGCATAGTCGTTCCTATAGGACTCAATGGTTTCTCTTCTTCCCAAAGTTTAGGTACGCAGGTTTCCGGCGTTGGGGATTGTAACCAGGTGCTGAAGTCAGAATTATCTTGAATCTTTTCAGCGAGTTTCTTAAAAGCTGGAACCCTTAGGCTCAAACGTATCATTGCTTCTTGTTGTTCAGAGCTAAGACTTGGCATTGGTGGCGCGCGAATATTGAGCACGCCCTCTTTGCCACGTAGGAAGAACGTGAATTCGCTATCGTAGGTCGACTCCGTAACAACTCCTTTTAGATGAATGCGACAAAGCAGTAAGGCAAACGTAAGTCTGTCTGTATGCAACATTCCACGAGCAACACGTTCGTAACAGACAGAGAATAAGTCGCTTGTAATTAAAGACAATCTCTGTGTGTAATCAGATATTCCGGACAATTTGGGGTTCTGTGAGAGAACGGTGGTAAATATGTCTAGGAACATCTTTAAAGAGTACTGATACAAGAAATGCACTTGGTTCAGACTATCCATGGTGAAGTACATATTCGAGCATGCTTGGGATAGCGGCATGTACTGTTGCGAGACAGTTTCAATTTCACCTATAACCTTGTCAGTTTCTTCCACCTTCTTGCTGATATCAGCAGCCTCCTGTTTCAGCGTTTCCAGGGTAGTGATGACGGAGTCATCGTCAAGGATCTTTCCTTTGGCATCATTCAATGCTTGCAGTAAAGATTTCTCAAGCTGTCGCAATCTCAAATGGAATTCTCCTTGAAGTTTCAGTAGATCTGATCTCTTTTCATCTATATCAGGACGTTCTGCTTTGAGAACCTGGTTGAGACATTGACTCTGCAAGGAGCTCCTGGTGACGGTGAAGTTAACAAATGTTACACGAGAACATATGTCTGGTGGAAATTCAACCGTGGGATCTCTTGTGGACAAGAATATCACGAATGATGGCGAAAGATCGATATCTTGATCTCCGAGCGTAATCAATACACGACCACCTGTCCTTCTCAATTCTCTATTCAGGACAGGATTTAGAATTGGATCATAATTTTCTACATCCTGGACCAACAATGGATTACCAAACCGAAGAGCACTCTCGAGATTCTTCCTAAATGAATCATCCAAGAAACTAGTCTTAGTAATTTTTCTATCCTTGAACTCATTCATTATGAATTCCGTAGCTTGTCCTGATGGATCAATGATCAATGGATATCTGTTGAAACGTTTCAACATTATAGCATTTTCTGTGCATAGATCATCTGTTGGCAAAGCATTAGCTTGCCATCTCAAACGCTCATCAGGATTTGACAAATATTCCGTTCTTGCGATATCAGCACGGAATTGCAGGTTTGCGTGTTGCAAATGTTGACACCAAGTGGAGAATAGATTTTGACGATACTGTAAACATAATACAGAATTATATTATAGCAATCGCTTAACGAAAATACTTATTCAATTAATTGGATATTACACGAATTGCACCATTTAAAAATTTACTTACATGTTGATCAAAGTAACCAGCATATGCAAGGAATGCAGAGGACAGAAGAACATCACCAATAATCGTAGACATTTGACTTCTAAATGTTTCGCTTGTAGCTTCCCATCTTTCTCTCTCGATGACTAATGATTTCAAGAGAGCAATGGATCTGTCTACTTTGCCTTGAACATTTTCCAGGTCAGCCTTGATAGCTTGAGCTTGAGAGATCAGCTGTGCGTACTCCTCTTTGTAGGAGGCAATGCTTTGTTCTAACTGAGCAATTAGATTTTTCACTTCTTCGCCTTTCAACTGATTGGTCTCAGCTTGCTGCTCCAGTGAGTGAAGTTCATCACGCAGTGGCTCCACACGCTTCAACATGTCTGCATATTCAATCTGCGCAAAAGATGACCATATTAGTATAGATGTTACTATATGCTGATTATATTAATATCATTAATGTTAATTACCTGAGCAATCGCCCACTTGACCATAGGACCACAAGCCATACTCGCACGGTTGACTTTTTCGAAGTTGTAGTCAGGGTTGCTCAAGTAACGACTCTTCATCTTTTCGCGTACCTCATCACTACAAAATTATTAAATTAGACAGAATTCTACTGCATAAAATGGAAGGTTTCATGGTTTTTGCTTTCCTCAATTTTAATAACTCAAACGTCTTGTGTTGGAAATAGCACATAATAAAACAATATTATAGACTCTAATTGATTCACTGAATCAAATCGTTTACGAATCAATAACTTTTTAACGTAAATTTTGGTGCCTCGTAGAAGCGAAGTGTGTGTCATTTTTATGTCAAAGGGATTGACGCAAGGAGAATATAAACCAAGAAACCACCTAACATTTTATAAGGCTGTACATATTAATATACTAATGCTTTAGCTTTTGGGCAGTTAAAGCCCATTTAGTAATTTGAATTAGCATGAATCTTTAGTGACAGTTGACGTGACTCGATGGACCATTTAGAACAATTTTGATGCACAATTTGTGTGGTTAGTGACAACTTTATCAATCTTTGTTAACATGCGGTATAAAAAAAACAGTTTCTTTTTTTATCGTCGCTTGTATGACTTGGTTAATATATTGCCTATTTCCAAAGCTGTTCCAATACTGCTTGCCAAATAAAACGCAAGCTTTTGGTAGAAGTAGGGGTGGGATGTATGGCAACTAACATAGCGTATTACGATATACCATTACACAAGATAAAACAATTCTATCGGTAATGATCAGATAGATAATTGCCTTCCATTCACTATAATCAATTCCCTACTTGTTATGAAATACATAACGATCAAATGAAATGCGTCATTTTTCCAAAGCGAATACCAACTTAACCAGCCCAATTACCTTACGTGTGCTGATATATGAATGTTTGCTGATGATTATTTCGTGAAAAGCGATAGGAGCTATCTGATCACAAGAATCTTGGGGCGAAGGACTTTATCAAACTGTCGGATATAAGGCAACACTGCAACGCAGGAGCTTCAAGATGGGACTTTTTTTTTTATCTGAGACCAGTAGACACCGATAAAATGAACTTTGCTGACTTTAATGAGTTAGTAATCATGAGAGGCGTGAATGATTTTATGCAATTTAGAAAGGTGAACCAATTGGGCATAGAGACGATGACTTAATGAAAAAAAATAGAACAATGATTTCAAAAAATATTTTTCAAAGAAAGGGATTCGAGAAAAACATTTGAAAGAATATTGGTGTAAGAATTTGCATTCTTAATCAATAAACGATATTTATTAAATTATGGCTTTTCACTGATCTTCTTAAAAAGGAGTATTCTCATTCGTGTCGGCTGGTCCATGTCAGATTCATAGCCTAATTGTTTTTGACGAGGAAAGAAACAGTGAAAGCATGCTTACGTAATGTCCTCAGTACTGAAATTCGAGACAATGGTATTGATAAAATTGTCTCTCATGATGACCGCGCGGATAGATTTCCAGTCACTGGCATTTTCGCCGAGCAACAGGCAGATAGACTCCAGCGCAACCTTGACGATCGCTGGTGGGTTCGCCATGGAGCGAACCTCAACCAAATGCTGTTTCTTTATTGATTTCACCGCTATACGAAAAATTAAATGATTTCATATAGTACAAAGAAGAAAATGGACAGGCATTAGAGGCATGTTATGATAAAGTTATAAGAAAAAAGCGCGGCGACAGGCTGCAAGGTGAATTTCGGCGGACCTATAAAGTTAGAAATCAGGGCAAGAAAACACAAGTAATATGTCTATGTACAAGTCGCGAATCATCGACACGAATGCAGTAGATTAATAAAACCGTAAAACAATAGCTATTTTTAGTCATACATAATCGTAAAAATATATTTGAATGAAAGCTAATAATAATGTTCAATACTGTACTCGTGTCGATACTTGTGTGTGAGAATGATATTAACAACCGACAAACATTATAGAAACAGGACATATAACAAGCGGATATTAGATGTTGTTTAATAGACTCCCAGGCGAGCGTTGAACATTCAGCAGGCCCCTAGTGGTTCTCTTACGTGATGTCCTCTGTGTTGAAATTGACGATAGTCGGAATAAAGCTGTCCTTCATAATAACGGCACGAATCTGTTTCCAGTCGCTGGCATTTTCCTCGAGCAAGAGGCAAATCGATTCTAGTGCCAGCTTTACAACTGCCGGCGGATTCGCCATCGATCGGATCTCAACAAGATGCTGCCGCTTAATCCCCTTCACAGCTACACTCATTGCAAAATCATAAGCGTAATGCATGGCGCAATTGCGTGCTTTCTTTATAAGATTCTATCGACAGGAATCGAACGCCTAAGTTCGATGGTAAAGGAAATTTATGTGCGAAAAAAAAAGCTTAAAAATTGTAGTTTTGATAATAAAAGAAAAAGCTAAATGCTTCACACAAAACTGTTTTAGATAAAAATAACTATGTAACTGCAACAGATTAATTTTTCAATATTGATGGGGAACCAAAGTAAAGTTTTCATTTTATTGTTACGAGACAAATAAAAAAAAACGTGGAAAAATGAAATTCATTCTTAACGATGTTTGTGACAGTGTCGAATTCAAGTAATATAGGTAATAAATAGATTGGCGTAAAGATTGATTTTTGAGAAGTATGGGATACTTAATACACAGCAGGATAAGAAAAGATGGTACTCACCATTTTGAGCGTCAATGACAGCTGGTTCGACTTGAGCAAGATCAGCCATTACGTCTTCTCGCTTTTGATCAATGGCCACAGTTTGGATAGCTAGCTGCTGTTGGATCTCTTGACTTTGTACTTTCTTCTTTTCCGCTTCCTGTTGATCTTTCACCATCTGTCTCAATTTAGCATTGGCAGCTTCGTTCTTGGCTTGCAATTCCTAGTACAAGAATACACCATTAAAACTTCTTTCGTTAATCAGTCTACTGACGAACAGTTCATCATAAAAGATACGCGAAACTCTGCTTTTCTGGACTAACCTGTGATTTAACAGCCAAGCTCTTTTGCATTTCCTCAACTTGTTCCACGGTTTCAGCAATTTTGCTTAAACCAACATTCAAATGTAACTGCTGTTCCTCCAAGTCACTTCTCTTCTCTTGATACAACTTGACGAAGTGGTTAATGAAGTCTAGATAATGTCGAGGGGTGATCGCCATTGTTCTCGAACCTCTCTTTGCCAGTCTTGCGTTAGCTTTGTGCAGGGTCTGATGTACATAGACGCAAGCATTGATGACTGCATCTCTATGTGTGGGTTGCGCAGGTATTAATGAGCAGACAGATGGGAAGAAGTCTGGACATTTCCATGAAGGCCTTTCCAGATCAACGCGATTTGTGAATTCTTTTCCAACTTGGAACAATGCGTTATCGGACCAATCGCCAAACCAATTAAGCACGCATCTGTTGAACAACGCCGGTGAGGTTGCAGCACGATCCTTAAGGCCGTCTGTGCTTGGATTCATTGTGAAAACAACGTGCAAGTTCTTCATGACTTGACCCGTGAACCACTTGTAAAGTTCTTCGTTGGAATCGAGCATCAGACCTTCTCGTTGAGCTCCTTCTTTGCACTGAGTCATAAGAGTAGTGTATTCATCGCCCTCGAACAAACCAGGAACTTCTCCGTTAGCCAGGAGAGTATTCATTCGTTCCAGGAAGCCAGAATCAAGTACGTTGGATTCGTCAAGAATAAAAGCTATCTTCTCATCCTTGCAACCAGAACGTCTCAATACTTGTCGCAAATCTTCATCGAAATCTTCTCCAGAGTATTTATTATGCACCTGTTAAACAATTACCGTTAGAAAGCTCTTATGTTCAATGCAATCATTTAATTAAGTTCAATCAGACTGTACCTTTATTTGAAAGATGGATAATCCGTTCATCCACGCAACAAACCTCGACAGAGTTGTCTTACCAGCACCTGAGACACCAATCAACAGCAAATGTCCCTGAGGCTGTCGGAAAATTCTGTCAATTCGCAGAACATGTTCGAGAACTTCATCGAAGAGAACCAGAGGTACATCCAACTCTTCCTCGTAGAAGACCTTCAATCTAGCCCTTACGTAGTCCCTCAACTCTTGTCTGTTAACTGGCACATAATCTTTAGATAACCAGTTACTGTAGAGAATCGGTCTGGACAGTGCTTTTTCTTTATCAACGCCCATAAAGTGTTTCAGTGCCACGATATCAATATTCTTATTAGTCCAACCACGTTCTGAATCTTCTACCAATCGGTCTTGGAACAAACGAAGTGCCTCATGTGCCCAGAGACGTACAAGTCCCTCAACTGATAAACTATCAAGAGGTCTAATTGCTTCACAGATTCCACGGACCCATCGTGTCATTTCACGAGGCGAATAAACGTAATGTGGCTGCATGTCTTGGGTAAACCGTTCTTGGGAGGCTAGGTAGAATTCCACCATTGCATTTGTTAAAGGTTCCGCATAGCCCCTCAGGGAAGGAGTTAACCTGTAATTGTTAGAATAAAAAATCAATAATATTAACATGAATCAAAGTATTCAACTGCAATTCAGTGAAAATACCAATCGATTAAATTACATATATTGTTACACTAAAAGAAGCATGACGTAGTATTACGGACCTGAGCATGGCACGTGTGAATGTTCCATAAATCTGCTTGAGAGATGTTTCTCCAGGATAGTCAACATAGATGACTGGTACATGGCGTAAGAATCTATGGCTAAGTGGTTTTCTACCAGGATCAGTAGGTGGATTACAAGCTCCGACGAACTGAATCCTCTCCAATGAGACCCAAGCTTGATCACTAGTGCGGTAGAATCCTCTGTGTTCTACTAATTGTCTTAAAAATGAGATTACACGTTGAGTGCCATAATTATCCATATCCGGTAAATTGATTTCGTCACAGAACAAAACGAGCCACTTTCCAAGCTGCACAGGTGATAGTACAACACCATTTGGTGTTTTGCGGTACTCGCAGTAATGGTCGAATGTCTTTAATAACAGTTCTGGAGTTGTGGCAGATGAAAAATTCAAGCCAACAACTTCCATATCCGGTAAAGCTCTCAACGCAGAGAAAAGAGTCATGGTTTTACCAGAACCAGGTGGACCACACAGTACTGTTGAAAATGATGTCAATGTAACAAAGGAAAAGTAATCGAATATCTAGAAAAATTATATTTAATTTCTCAAACTTACCCAACGGTTTGTGCTCAGCTAGCCACGTGTAAAGCAGAATCTCATGTCTGACAGTGTCCAACGTGGGTACAACGATATCTGGACTAGCCACTTTATGAGTTTCTACCTCAATCTGAGGTACCTTGTTACTCCACGGTAGCCACTCTCCGTGAATATTTACTTCGAAGTCTATGATGGGTATATTACTCTGAGCTGGTAAGGGTACTGTAGTTATAGATCTTATAAAGTCACCCAAGTCAGATCTAACCTTCAGCTTCGCATCACCAGCGAAACTCCACAGTAACGCGTAAACCAGACATTTTGGCATGTAACGTTCTAACTGCTCACTTGGCAGCGGGAAATCCATATGCGTATGATTATATTGTAAAACATTGCGCACAGATTGGTTCAGCATGGAGAACAGGGAGCTGAGTGCACGCAACCGCGTGAAGTCCATTATATGTTCTTGTTTCATGGCGTACTCCAGACACCTCACTACTAAACCATCAGGTGCAAAGTAACTTTGCAAAATACTAGCAACTTCACGCTGTACAGATAAAGCAGGTGAAATAGTGTCTTCTTTATCTGCCGTCTTCTTGCCAAGATTATCCTCTTCGCCATCTTCCAGTGGAATATTTTTCAAGCGCAACATGTAATTCTCGAAGATCATTTCCGTTGAAAGAACATCCTCTGAGAACCAGACCATGCCGCAACGAGAGACAGTAGCTAATGTTGCATACTTCAGATCTTGTACTTCAAACATCACTCTAACATTTGGTGGTAAGCTAAGACGCTCGCCATTTGGCAAAGTTAGAAGTTTATTATCGTCAAGGACTGAGTTGAGATTCTCAACCCATTCTGGATCAACATCTCCGTCGAAAATGATCCACTGTCGCTTATTTATCTCCCCTCTGACGTTATCTATGATCTTTCTAAGAATATGAGTGAATAGACCATCAGTCCATTCTCTGGTGTTGGGATCCAATACACCATAAAGTGTTTCCTTGCTGATAGCCTTGGGATCAATGACATGGGCTACACCTTCCACGCCTTCGAATCTTTCCAGTGCCTTTAGAAGCACCTTCCATGCAGTCGTTTTTCCAGAACCACTTGGACCAACCATCATCAAGCCATGATTGAGATTGCAGATTTGGTATAGTTGAAGTACCTATATAGAAAACTATTGTTAGAGATCGACGATTGGGAAGCATAGAGATCAGATGATAGACATGCATTGACACGCGTGGAACAATGACAACATCTATATACAGTTCGGTCTCACCTTCGCAACCCAGGTCTCACCGACCGTTTCCTGAGTGGGCACAATATAAAAATGTTAATGATTAGGCTATCATGAGAAGTTACTGTAGTACCAGATTAGCAACATCGTATTTTTGTTTTTGGTTTAATTCTACATTTTATAAATATTCAGTAACAGTCATGCATCGTGTTATTAGTTTTGTCATTATGGTTAATGAGATGATAATGTTATGATGATAAAAATATATACAATAGAAAACACAACGAAGACATAAAATTGTAATTGAATAAATATTACCTTTTCTTGCCAGGCTCCACCTTGTTCATCGCCTTCTCCACATACAAGATATTCTTCAGCGCAGACCTTTCGAATTTGATCTTTCAAACCTATCAAGTAAATATTGATGAGAAATGCTTATTCAGATTTCTAAAGCACATTTAAGATGGTTTATTTATTAAAAAATGTAATATTACCCTTCATTTCAGCACGAGTATAGTTTACGTTCGGGAATACATCGTTCAGGAGACTGAAGAGTAGAGGAATATCTTCCGCGACTAATTTAGGCACCATAGTCTCACAGACTGATTGGATCAAAATTTCTTGTTCCGGTAAGTTCTCAGCGATCGAAGCTTCATCAATGTCAGTTTCTCCACGATTTTGCATACCCTCCTTAATTTTTTGGATTCTATCACGTTTCACATTTCCGGCTGAGATTAGTACGGATTTCAAAGCACGAAGACCAAAGTCGTAATGCGATTGATTTGATAATTGTTCATCGCATAGCCTAGACAAAGATATGATATTAATTATTTACTCTTTGTAGTATCAATAATAATTGCTAATTGTTAAAATCATGTATTTACAATGCATAAATATTTATAAGAACTTACTTGAAGAATGGTACAATTTTGCACGCTAATTTTTCAGCAGATCTGAAGCCTTGACTGAACAGCATCACTTCGGCAATCAACTGTCTATCGGGTGTTGTCATAGCTAGTGATCTGAATAACTTCTTTAAGTTGTCTGGCAAATTAGACCGTCCAGCATAACCAGGATTCATGGTAATGAAGATCGCCATGTCTGTAGAGACTTTAACTTGTTTTCCAACAAGCTCCACACAAAGAGTTCCTTCTTTCTTGCCCTCCATTTGACTCTTGAGAGCTTCCTGAATGGTTTGCACTTGTTGAGAAACAGCTGAAAGCATACGCTCTTCCAAACGATTGAATTCATCGAAACAACCCCAAGCTCCGACTTGGCAGAGACCGACGAATATACGGCCCATAGCCTGAAATAATAACGTAATGATAAGACCAAATCCATATTGACAATTTTATTATCAATATAATGCAAAATGACTATATTTACCTGGAAATCAAACGTTTCATCGCAATTAAATACAAGTACGAATCTTCCAAGTTGGTGTCCAAGAGCTTTAACTGATTCAGTCTTTCCGGTTCCAGCAGGACCGAATGGCGAACCACCGAGTCTAGCTTCTAGAGCTTGTGTCATAGTTAAGTAACATCTGTCTGTTAATGGCGTTTGGACTAGTCTATCCTGTACGCCTAGATATTCAAATCCGTAAAAGAATTTAGCATTTGCCATGTGAATCGTAAGTTGTTGAAGAACTTCGGTTTGTCGTGGATCAAAATAGAATCTCATCTCGCAGAGCCACTCGAAAGCCTTTGGATTTGATACTTTATTAGCAATTAACCTTCTCGTGACGGTACGTTTATGTACAAATTCATTAATGAGATGCTCCAATTTTTTCCTCCTAAGAGCCGGTTGTTCCTGGAGTACAGAATCCGCAAGGACATTCAATGTCACTTCGACTTGGTTTAATACTCTTTCTAGTGGATTCTTGCTGGAATCTGATTGAGCTTCGTGAAGAGCTGCTTCGACGTCTTCAGACCACAAAATTTGTGCAGCCAAGACAATGATCTGGGCTTGATAGTTGTCACACCAAGTCATGAATGCTTGAGAATTAATATTTCCATCCTTGAACTGCTTAATATCATGGACTGCTCTTGCGAGACTAGAAGCTAGGGTGACACGCATTTCCTTTTCCACGAGTGTTAGCCATTCATTGATCTTCGGATGATCTACTGTTGACACTGGAGTTTGGAAAGTGACTTCTTCACCCTCGCGAGATGCTATACCAGTAATAACGGTATTATCCTCGTTAAGTAGAATAGCTGCCACGCCGGCGAACATTTTCTTGAAATGCTTTTGCAATCTTGCGACATTTTTACTGTTACCAATGATCTCGAGTAAATCTTCATCTCCGACGAAATAAAATCGCGGGAAGGATGTTCTTTCCCTTTCCAAATATTCTCCAAGAGCTTTCTGAATCTTTCCAAGAAGATCGGCAAGTCGTTCAAGGGCTCTTTGGACGCCAGGGATATTTAGGACATCCATGACCATTGGAGATTTCGAGACTTTCTTCATCAATCCAAGGAATTCAGAACTGATACTTTGGAAACGTGATGTTTCCACTGGTAGCAGCGTCTTGATGTCGGCACTACCTGAGAAGATACCCTCAAGATATACCCACCGCCGCTGAACGTCGATCCAAACATCGAAGAGTGCATTTATCCTGTTAAGCTTCTCCTCCCAAGTTAGAGCTTCTTCTTCAAACACTTTATAATACGGTGACAATTTCATGGCTGCTACGGAGTTGATGTGTTCTTTAACTTTATTGAATAAATCATCCCATCCTCGAATCAATCTGCACTTGCTCTGGTAGTTTATGAGGTCTAGTTCGTATGTTTGCCAGGACTCTCTCACTTGCTTCAAGAACTCCTCCAAAGCCATTTCACCTTGTGCCACTAGGATTATATCTTTAACGATTCCTTCATTTTTCTGAAGATTTACGTCCCACACTTGGCCGAGCGTTAGTTCACTTAATACCCAATTGACTCTCAGCTGTCTCGTTAGTTGTTTCCAATGTCGCTCTTTCAAAGCATCAGATTTAAGTTCCACGATCAACATGTTAACCTTGGTATAACTTTGCAGCATCTTCTTCACGTACTCGTATGAAGAGTATTGTCTTAATCTTGCAGGAAGTTCCTTCAGCTGAGCCATCATTGTATCCAGCTGTTGACGTAACTTCCTAGGTTGAACCGACAACCATGGTTTTTCTCTAGTCTCATCTATTTGAGCCCAAATTCTTGACAATTCTGACCACACGCCTCTCAAGTCTTGCAATTCCTCAAAGATAACTTGAATTCTATCCTCACTGGTAGACACACCGCCTGGTTCCTGCAATTCCAGAGCTTCCTTCGCTTTAGCGACGTTGTCCCGTTCTTCCTTGAGTCTAGCGAATTTGCTTTCGAACAATTGCAGCTGTTGCAGGGCTTCATCAGGACGCAGATGACCCTCAACAGGTTTTCCTCTTTCCCAGTCATTAAGGAAGTCAGTTGTTCTTGTCTCAACTGCTTTATCTTCAGCAACAATCTTCATCTGTAGAGAAGCTACCTGCGTTTGGATGCTGGTATCTTTACGTTTGATGATCTCGTTGAACGCACCCCACTCACCCTCTATGTTATCAACGTGCAACCACGATGTTGGGAACTGGAATCTTTGACGTTCCAAAATCCTTTGACCTTCCCTGTACACGTCCACTTGCTTCTCCCATGCTTTCATCTTGCGTTTAAGAGATTGCACGTACGTTATGAAGCCGACAGCATCAGAAGTACTTGCAGCTTCGATGGATTGTTGTTCGAGATCACCTCTGGACTTGGACACTTGTGCGTGGAAACTTGCCATTTCATTTCCAAGGAGAGAACCGAATTTGCCCAAGGTCTCCTTGTGCCAAGAATCATACTTTAGGGAGACTTTACTTTGTACTTTAGCAAAATCAATGATAATAGGACCGAACTCTCGTCTTGTATCTGAAGTGTCGAAAGTCGTTCTCGTTTTCTTTATATCATTCAAACACTTCATCCACAGATTGATGTCTTCACCCAACTTTCCATACAGGTTGTCAGGTTGAAGATCCCAAAGTGATTGGTATCTAAGCCATTGATCGACATAATCAGCAACATCCTTCATCTTTGATTCAACGGCTTCGTAAGCTGCTTCCAGCGGTACTTTTCCACCGGGTAATTTTGTCAGCAAGTTTCTATAAGTTCCTGACTCTGGTTTGTCAAGACCTACTTGATACCTGGAACTCTGTAAACGAATCTGAGACGTAACGATCGCTTGCCAAGCGAAAAGTTGTTGCATGATCTGGAATCTCGCGTCCTCAATACTAGGATATAAGTACATTGTCTGATTGGTGATCCTGACTTCATGAATTTGATTCTGTATCTTAGGATCACCGCCAGGCTTGTGAGTTGGTTGCGCAGGTGCATCGGTATCCATGCTCAGGTCAACTTCTTTCTTTTGTCCCATAAGTGCATCGGTCCATGCTTTTACTCCAGCTTCTAATCGTGCTGCCAAATTCTTCTCGACCTCTTCATCAAGTCTAGCTACCCAAATATGTAGATTCGAGTAGTTCTTCAATGACAATTCATCCACAGACTTCTGAATCTTAGATAATATATCAGCAAAAGTATTTGCCGAGTAAGGGCAAGTTTCCAAAGATCGAACATCAACGTCCAGCTGTTCTTCGACGACAAGAAGATCTTCAACTTTTTCTTGGAAAGATACAACAGCATCCGAAAGACGATGGACATACAAATCAAGTTTGTAGCTTTCCCATACCAGGGCAATACCCTAATATAAAAATTAAATGGATATTAAAATTATATGATTTTCCAATTTTTTGCCTGACTAATGTCAATTATCCTCACCTCAGAAATGAGTGATAGAACATCCTTACGCATTCCAGCAACCAAGGGTATGATACTTGCTTTATCTTCAATCTAAAAAATATAAAACCGTAAAATATTTATTTAACTACGAGTTGTCTAGATGATACAGCGAATGATTCCATTAGGATCTCACGACACAAATTACTTGATGTCATTCATTTTTATTCAAACTAACAAAATGCAGAAAAAATAAAGGTTTTGTATGTATATGAAATATGTATCAAGTGGCAATGCTAGAAAAATAGGACAAAATTTCATTGCACATACACATATCAGAGATGGAACATAATATTGGTAAAATATATTACTTCATTAATTTAAAATGCGGTAAGCTATCCTCATTAAGTATCAACTGCTTCAACACTAAACTCATTTATAATTGTTAATCTAATATAAAGGATTGTTCCATCTCGCCAAAGGTTATCGCTACAATAGCTAAGCAGGCAGACATTAATAATGATCACAATTTTAGACAAGATGCATAACTTCTTGAAGCATCGTGTAAGACTACCTTCAGTGCGGGACAGTGGGGACTCCGATTGGTAAGCTAAAAATATTGGACATCTGAGGGATTAGAAATTTCGGAACGGCTAAATCAATATTTTCATCCTGGCACTATCACTTAGGATTTTTTCTGTCTTTTAGTTATATGGAACTTTGACTCAAAAACTATGTTAGTATAACATGAATCCGTACAATACAGAAATATCATATATAGTTCTACAAAATATGTGGCTGTCTAAAACATGATGTCCCCATCCGTTGAACGTAAACTGCCATTTATGAGTAACGCGAATATTTACACGGTTTTATAAGAAACTTTCTTACCTTTTCCAAAGTTCTCTCATACGTCCTGATGCTCTCAATCAAACTGATAGCGAATGGATAAACTTGATTAGCTTGGTGAGCTTTGTTAACAATAGCTATCGGAGCACGATATCCTAGATTCTTCAGATTCCTCACTTCCTTGGCCAGCGTGATAATTTCCGGCAAAAAGTTCACTTTCAACTTGAGAACGTTTCCTCTACCAGAACGTGATCGAACGCTCTCAATTGTGAAAATGCGACCACTAACAGCAGTATTGCGTTGCTGCACTCTGCGCGCCCATTCGTCAAATATTTCTTGAGTAGATAATTTCATCCGGAAACTATCTCCATCGGCTTTTAACTTTTGACCCTCGATATGATTTTCCCAACCCTTACCTAAGGGAATTCATTATTTATGAAATTTCTTATGTGAAATAACATCGAGCATTCCTTTGAAGCTTACCCAAGACATCTTCGACACGTTTTAGATACATCGTCAGCTGATGATCAATTTGTTTAACCCAAATTATCGACCCTGAAACTGGTGGCAGATCTCTTACCATACTCATCCTGCAGCACTTGCTCTGCGCATATTGAACCTAAGAATAAGAATTCATTTTGTTATTTACATTTTCAGTGTGTTTAGTCATTTAATATATAACACATAGCTTATGTTATTTTATATGAATGCAAGATATACACCTTGAATTTTTCATGCAGTGCTTCAATATCATCTTTGACTCTTTGGATCAGTTGAGTTTGATATTCTCGAATGGCACCTCTAATATGTGGTCTCACAAAAAGAGCATTAAAACGTGAAAAAATACGAAACATTTCATTAGCATTCTTTGCGGTACCCAATTGATCTCTCAGATGTGCTGTTATTCTAGCTTCTACACGTTCAATGCGTTCTTCATATCGATGTACCGCAGCCTCCCAGAACTCTAATCCTTCCTTGGTAATATCTAAGCATTCAACTTCCTTGACATTTTCATATGCAAGATTGACCTCACTAATTGCGTTAGCATCAGCAGCGTCCAAAGGAAATTCCAGCTTTCCACTATCATTGTCAGCATTTTCTATGCTTGCGTTGTTATTGTTCTGACGAACAGTAGGTCGCAATACACGAACAATGACAGTTCTTAGTTGTTCATGCTGACGACGGAAACAACGCATATGTTCCATACGAGTTTGAAGTTTCTTGTGAGCTGGAGAAACTCGCCAGACCATCTTTAAGTGTTCATCTCGTTTCTTTTTGACGACGTCCCTCAGTAATCCAATAAGTTTATCATACTCATCATCCCAGGTACTAAACACTTCAAAACATTGTCCCATGACTTTCTCAAATTCATCGAAAGGAATATGCATCAGTCTTCTGGTACCAAGAACTTTGAGCAATTGTTGTCCCAAGTCTCTGGAAATTGCTTCCACCAATCTAAGAACTCGCTGAATGGGATATTTTGTACTTCTGATCTTCCTTAAGTGCATGAAGATTTGTTGCACAGCTGCTCGAATCCGCTCTAGCTCAGTAGCTGACAAAAGGTCGTTGATTGGAAAATCTTTCATCAACGGATTGTAATCATTTACAGTTGCTAAGGCTTGTTTCAAGCCAGTGTCTGTATCAAAACTGACAGTTGCATGGAAACGTTTTCCATGCTTAAGGATATCAAGAGTTAAGGAAATCTCAATGCTTTCACGTTTCTCCTGAATTCGGTGTAAAGCTCTTTCTAAATTCAACCAAAATGAAATTTCTTGAAGTGCTGTACCTGACTCTGGGTCACGATTAAGTTTTGTTACTTTTTGAATCTCTTTGATCCACCTGTTTACACCAGTTTGTAATTGATTCAAAAATGTTGAATCCTCTACTTTGTCCCCAAAATCAGCAACTTTGGGTTTCCTTCCTTCATCTGCACATTGTTTGATCACATGTAAAACAATTGGGTGAACTGGAAGGGAAATCTCTGGGATATCAATATTCTGTTGTAAATGTAACAATCCCATCTCCAATTCAGCAATTTTTTTTTCAACGGACGGTGCCATTTTGTCACCATCTCTATCCGCTCTCCCTGTTTCTTTGACATAGCTCTTAAAGTATGGTGCCATAGTTTTACTAATAGCGTGTAGAGTTTCATATGCTGGTCCATCGGAAATGGTAACAAGTCGTACTTGTGAATGAATGGACTTATCTGCCTCTATTACCGAACCACGTTTTGTCACAATAAGAGAGCCCATTTTAGGACTAGTAAAGTGAATATCATTTGATATATAGTATGTGGAATTTTCTTTCTCTTCATCGCCTTCACCACTATCTTCTTCTGCAACAAAATAAACAACTATGTATAACCATAGGTATTGTAAATTATGATATAGAATCTTGTAAATATTACTGGACTCACATATAAGCAATCAATGACTAATACGAGATGAGTCATAATCAAGGATATTTTACTTATTAGAAAATTGTTATATGATATATACAAATTAATTATCGTCTTTTTATTCATTAAGATATATAAAGGGATGACGCATTAAATTGTTACATGTTCCAATCTCATTTAAAATTCAAATTTTCATATTTTTTGCATGACATCCACCTTTTATCAAGGTCCAATTATAAATTTGTTTTTATACAAAAAAAAAGTTATATAAATGATAAAATGGAATTCGATGTCAGTTCATCTGTAAATGCGTCATGTCAAATAAAACTCTACACAGTGCACAATATTGATTTTTATTCTACGTTCAATTTATAAGTGCATGCGCGACTAAATGTACCGTTGTTCCAGAAGCTATAATGGATGACATATGTATATGGTTACACGATGCGAAGCAACCATTCTTGTCGAATATCAATGAAAAGAGTTCTTTACCTTTGCTGGATGTGCGTTGAATATACAAGGACCAAACTTGTGAATCACTGAGAAATTTTCGAATACACTCCTGATTATTTCTGTCCTCAAGAGCAGTATTAAATGCGGATGGAACCACATCCTCGTCAGGCAAAAGGATCGTAACGGCCTTTCGAAGATAGTTAGCGAATGAGGAATACTCGACAATCGCAATATTTTGTGATTCAGGAGACGGTTCCCCCGATCCGTCTAAAGAATCACCCATCTCGAATCAAAATGTACTTAACAACTTTTTCAACGTTAGACAATTGAGGAGGCGATCGCAAGACTCCCGCACGATGAACTGTCAGCCGACTAGACGAGAGTAGAGAAAGGAACCGGAACGGAAGTTTCAAACTTAACGTAGGTCACTATTTTACCGACCTCAATGGCGCGTATTTCAAACATGGAAAAATTCCATTACAGGGGCAGCAAGTGACATTATTATCTATGATTAAAGAATTGACCCGCTTTCTGAGGCTAGACAGATAAAAAATTTGTCTTTGCCCTAATATTACTTGACGAGTATATCAGACTCGTCCGACAACGAACGCATGGAAAAGTATAGTCTATTTGTCATCTATCAATGATAATTTATCTCGCTTGACTAAATGCAAATGGATGTATAACTTTTGCTTTTAATCACGCAATACATTACCGTAGTTTATCTAGAGATGAAACAATGCGTTAAAAGGCAGCACACGTCGCTATGTATTTTTATAAACTATACATATATCATACAACCTCAAAGGGTATATTTAGCGTACATTAAAATTTTGTTTAAACATCCACTCAAAAATAAATATATACAAATAATAATACACATCCGTAGAATTTATATCATTTGATATCATATCACGCAAAACAGATAACACATGAAACAGTCATATATCCTAAAATACAGTAACTGATTGTAAAAAGAAAACTCGTACAAGAATTACGAATATCAATAATCTTCATATATAATAGCGTATGCGTAATGCAAAATATTGGAAAAGAGTGTAACAAAATTTTTGCTAAAAATAATGGCGGGGACGATATTATCCATATAGGTGTAATTATGAGATACAAAATTATGGCTTCAAGATCGCTACGATGGGCACTTCTGATTCGATCAACATCAGGATGTCCTCCTGCTCTAGGATCAACGATTATATAGGGTTCTTTCATAAATCTTCGATCCTCTTCACTGTGGATAACCTGTAGACAATGCATTTAAATAAAATCGCTGTACATATAAAAATGTAATAGTCAAAGTTAATTCTAGAAATCTCATGTGACAGAGGATCAAGACACTTGAAACTCAAGGTCGCTTACGTATATTAAATGTAAAAATCTTCCATGATATTATGTAGATAATTGAAAAAAGGTTCACTGAAACATACATTTCTGAATACTCGCACTCGACCCGTGAACCATGTTAAAAGCATGAGATGTACAATACAAATGCTTCCCCAGCAAGCATACGCAGTCCACAACTCTTCTTTCGCGTTGTTCGCTGTAACTAGGGCCATGGCCTCACGCATGCTTCAGTTCCGTTTCGCGTCCGCTCGACAGGAAGAAACTATACATATGGAAACTAGCGAAAGAGTACCAGAGTACCTTTCAGTTATACACGGTTCGGCATCCCCACCACAGACCGCTTATCGGAGCACGGCATTCCGTGCTATAGACTGTTAGCACGAGCAGCAACGCCATCATATCGGTAGGTTATATTACTATTCTGTTTTACTATAGCCCATTGGAGTGTCAACTCCCTGATTCCCACCAGTGATCGAAGAATACATTTTCGCTGGATGGACTATACAACGAAATCCGAGCAGCTATTCTATAGACGTTCTTGAGATCAAGATGGCCATTTGTAAGGCAAATCATGTACGTAAGTGGTTGCTAGAACACAGCTCTGAAGGATAACACTTCTGGCTGGTATTTAAGTAACAATTTTTAGTATACATCAGCCCGCTAATTGATAGGCTAAGAAAATAGGCTGCTGGTGATACAGTCAATTAGATTACACTTCAAAAGCATGAGATCCAAATCCAAGTCAAATAAGTCCATACTTTTCGTACGTTATGAGTACATACAGCGAACGTACGATACAAACATAACGGTGCAAAAGGTATGTAGAATGGTATACTTTGTTCTGCTTTATCGATATCCTCAAATTAGATATTTTATCGGCTGATTCATGTTTCTCAAGAAGGTCTTGATGAAGTATATATCAATAATAATAATTGTTCCATATATTTCTTCATATTTTAATACAGAATTAGAATTTACTTGTTTCACATTATGCTGTACAGTTGTACTTTGTAATGTGAACAAAAATTAATTTTTGACTGATAGTTGATAAATCTCGATATTTACAATTTCGTTATTACAATTATTATCTTTCTTGAAACTATATATATATGCTATTCCCTTTTAACTGTATTGAATGAAATATCAGTGAAATAAATTGGTAGCTCAATATTATTTGATTTATGCAACGGGCAACTAAACGCACTGCACGTGGAGATGAGAATTTCGTACACAATACTTCACCAATTGTTTCAGTAATTACGAAAATCCTAATAAGTGTTGCAGCCAGCCAATAGGGTGGTGAAGTAGTTAACCAAAACCACGTACACAGCGTCCATAATACAACATATTGGAAGTCATCTTCAGATTGTTTGATTAGGCCGTTGTTACCATCGGTGTAAGCTACGTTTGAGTGTGAACTGAACTGTACTCCTTCTGGAACTTCAAAAATCTAAAAATACAAACGAAATTACAATGAATGCAACACAATTATTAATATTCACGAAGAAAAAATTTAATAAATAATTACATATTGAACTGCAAAGTTTCGTATTTTCCGAAAATATATTATAACGAATCTCGCAAATAATATTGCTGATCCACACCTAAAGACACGATAAATATCATCGTTAAGAACTTCCATTGGATTTGTCATATTTCAATTTCTATAAATCTTCAACTGTCTGCAAACTTAATAGGACGCTAAATAAATAGTTAATAAGACGATAGACGACTGACTAATGAATGGCTTGCCATTAAACTTCTTCGGACTTAACATATTCGCATTTAAATATACAATCTATTAAATAAGATATTATATACATATCTATGTACGTATGTCAGCAACAGCAGTACGTCATTAAAATTTGTAATCGAAACATGAACCCTGTTTACGCACTACGGAGATAACGTATTATGTAGACAGTAAATTTTGTTTTCTATTCAAGTAAACTTGGCACTCTAAAGTAAATGTAGTATTTCGTATTAAAACTCAGTGCACGATGATATTCGTTTTCAGTAAAATAAGAATAATTTATCTTGGATGCTTTTTTTTTCTTTAGTCAATACAAAATAGGCTTTATCTTTGTACAAAATGAAATATTTTGACGATTCGTGATACGAGTAACGAAATCAGAGAAATTGACCGATAACTGCTCGTATTTAACATTGTTTGGTTCATATATTACAATAATACATACAATTAAAAAAATTATTTCCAGAAATATATTGTTATCAACTTGACGTACATCCTTGGATGTACAAAAGTTTATGTAATCTTAGTCTAAACATTATCTATTACTCTAAAAGCAAAGATGTTTATTTCGTTCGACATGATAAATTCATAGACCCATGTAATACATAGTAGTAAGTATAATATATTACATTCGTTTAATTACCTAGTTCATTTATTTTAACTTAATCGATTCGATATCCATTATAATGTAAACAGTTTCATATAGGTTTATTTTGATATCGAGTGGCAAAAATATGTTTACCCATTAACTAAATTCGATAACGAAATATTTCTTTGAATTATAAAATATTATTTTATGTGATACTGTATCTATCGCATGGAATGCAAACTTTGTATACGACAGTTCAACGTATAATAATTCACAAGACTCATCTGTTAAAAAATATAAATTATGAAAAGTACTAAGGTAAACGAATTGTATACTTATACGTACTAATTCAAATAAATGATATCATCTTTAAAGACGCCATTGGGCAATATTACTTTTCTTAATGTTTGATTGTATAGATATATCTATGAGATTATTTCCCAAGAAAAAGTCAGTAGCAACAATATTTGTCTGCTTCCACCATTCATCTTGAAAAAGTGCCGTCAAGTTTCTATTCATAGAATCCGCCATCTGACGAAGTCCGCCGGTCCATTCGAATAACATGTCTAACGGTACCGGCGTCAATTCCGCCATTACTGCCCATAATGGATTCTGACTGTTTCGTGATCGTTTATGTCCCGTGATAGTTTCGTCCATATATTTAAAAAGTCCTTCTACAGTTTGCTGATTACCCCATGCCTGCGTCATTGGTGGCCACAACCAATCGTACTCTAAGAGCAACAAATAATTATAATGTTACATAAATTATTATTTTAACCTAATGCGGCTCGGGAGATAAATTTTAACCTATAAACTGCTTAAAATTAATTGTTTAATAAATATTACCGTTCGCCGTATGTTTGTCTCCGTAACAGATTATTAATCGTCTACCGCTGTTCCAGATATCGTTTAACGTTGGTCCCAAACCTTCTACTCCTTTGTCAGGCTTTAAAATAAGACCCCCGAATTCACGATGAAGAATAGATACGAGTCGTCTGTGACTACTGGGTCTTCCTTCGAATCCTACTGGAAATCTGCGAATAAAGGTTACAGTAAGAATTTCCTATATCTCATGTAAAATCCATGAATGCACTTACCTGTGAAAGTCCAGGATTACAACCTCGCCTCTAGCCACATCTAGAAAATTTCTCACGTCTTTTATGATCGTCATTAGAGGAGTTACTCTAATGACGTCGTGATTAACCCAAAACCGGTTAACCTGACTGACTTCTTCGTCGAATGTGGTGTTATTAGCCATCGAATAGTAATATCCCACCCTAATATCCAAGTATCGTATTCCATGAACAAGCTGAGTCCACACGTCGCGATCCTGAGTTAATAAATAACGTTCGAATGCATGGCGTCGTGTCAAATCGCCATGTTGATAACAGCCTGAATTGTGTGTTCCAGGAATCATTAAAGTTCCGATCGGAAGTCTCCCAAGTTGTCTCCTAAAAAATGATCACAGATGACAAAGTAGTCTTGGGCCTTGGAAAAATCACTAGAACATATTTTACTTGGAAAATCTTTATTAGACGAACCTTAAATCGTACATCCATGTGGGCCAGATTTGTAAGCAGGAGCTCGTTAATATAACGTTATCCTTGTAGAGGGCTGCGTAGTGTTTCAGACAATGTGGTCCGGGAAGCGTGGCGCCACCCGTGGCATCCCAACCACCTGACAATGAAGGTCTACCAACGGTGATGTTGGTACGATAGTATCCTCGAATTTGTTCCAGGATAAACAACGTCAGCTGGGGTTTGATGGTTTTGTCTAGAAAAAAAAGGCAAACCTGCGTTTAGTAATTTAAGGAGATAGTTCTCTGAAGCATTAAATAATGTTCATAATAACATGAAAGGTTGGTACAAAGTATTCTGGTGAATGTTCAATGATAATGGCGTAAGCGGAAATAGCAAGCTGAGGTGCAGGCAATAATGATGGGAAAAAATAAAACTTATTACTATGCGCTGGATCAGCAGTGAACACCTTGATGGTATCAGGATATCCTACGTTTGGGGGGCAATCGAGATCCCAATTCACTTCGAGCTCCGCATCGACGACCTTGTTGCCAGCCGCAATGGGCCTCCATAACGAAGAGACTGTCAACCACACTTTTCCGCATTGCGTTGTCAGAGCTGAAAATACGATTAATCTATAAATAAGATGATTCGAAGTAAATGAAGAATCAGAAAGAATTATATTAAAATACGAAAAAGAATAAAATTCAAAGTAGCATTGACATTTTGAAAACTGGTCCAACGCGATGATATAGAGTGATTGACTGTATAATAAAAATTAACGGCGAAGTTACTTCCCACTAGACACTTGGCGTGCCAACTTATGTGACGCCAATTTCCAAAAAGTCAAAATAAACAGGTACGTAGTAACCTTTCGAAAATTCATTTCGCAGAAGTAAAAATAAAGCAGCTGCGATTATCAAACGTAAATCCAAGAAAGCTCTTTTAATGTGTCTATTATAAATATACAGAAGAGTTTACATGGCGCGTTTCAGTTCCTTTTAACAAGTCGAAAAAAAATGAGACTCCACGACGTGCTCTGATTGCAAAAGTAAATCATAAGAAGAAAAGTGCGATCTTTCAAGAGATAAACCAGAAGACAAAATGAACAGAGACGAATGAAGTGAAGGAAGCAAAGAGTGGTAGGAGTGGTTAAAGAGATGGGGGTAAAAGACAGTAGTATAGATCCGGAACTAGAGGAAGAACCGGAACTGAATGATTCCGAAGACTGAAAAGAATGGGAGAGCTTACCGATGTCGCAGATCGCGTGGAGAAACAAGAAAACGATCGGTTTGAACATGGCGAAGTGACTTGCAATGCGGGGGAACCCCTCGCACTGAACCCGTGAACGGTTTTCAGTATTTAAAGCCGGAAGGGGCACCCCACTAACTAACCGAGCGACTGACTAACCGAACGAGCAGTCCCGGACTAGTTTAACAGAACTCAGGCACGTATGCATATTCATACACATAGTGTCATCCTTCCATCACTTCCTCGGACACAGCAATTGCTGGGGGACTAGCACTCTCTGCTGCATCCCACCCGGACCCGAACTAACCTGACCTGGCAGCATTAAATATCGTTTCCTGTATGTCAGGATACAGTTTCGAGAGGACGCTATACAGTACTCTCTTTTCTATTGAATTATTATCACCCGGACTGTGACGTGTTAGATTAATAGCGAAATAGATATATTATGTAGATATGAATTTCGAACAGTATGAATTTAGATATAATTAATTATAGCTAGGATAATTAAAAATTCTTATGTATTATTCTAATGAGATAGGTAGCGACTGATTGTAGATGTGATTAGTACAACAGATATACAATTTATTTACAAATTCACGTCCACCTACGATTACGTACAGTAGTCACATAGAAAATATCGGGCCAGGTACAGAGGCCTTTTATTAGTTCGTTAATACTTTACTAATTACAGTAGAATAAATTAATTGTCGGATACCCTGTCGAATAATGACCCTTCGAGTAAGCACTGGGTTCCGTTGTCCGTTAAGTACAGGTACTTAAAAATAAATAATATTATCGTTGGAGATATGTTATTATTTTACAAGCATTAAATACAAGTGGTTCACTCACTAGTCTAATTAGATAGTGTTAATTACATCGATCGATTCATGAATGTAGTGTACACAAAAGACGATAATACAATTTGATTTGCTGAGGTAGATAATTTAATCAGTCTATAAAGGGGATTGATCAGTTAGTAACTGTTTGCATCGAGATTTCTTTGCATAATTGCATTAATGTTGCATCGCATCTATGATTTTAAGAAAACGAACAATGCCATAGTCTTCTTTCTTCATTTTTATTATTCAGACTTAAACGATTATTGATTAACTTTGTAAAATTTTACGAAAAATCTATAGCACGTGATCGCTTTCACTACGTGATTCTTCCAACCTACGTGTTTTATTAATTGATCATCAAACGCATTGAACGAATGTCTAATTATTCGTGAATATCGAACTCATTATTAGAGAATATGTTTGGGTTCAGTTTTCAAAATTACGCGATGCAGTCATCTTATCTGTAAGAATAATTTGTATTATTTTATTGCATAGAATGACGAGTTTGTAGTGAATTTTTCATGATTTTCCCTAATAATAAATTCGAAACTTTGTTTAAGAAATATTTTCTTTTTTTTTTATATTGCCTTGTTTGAATTTTTTCTTTAACACGAAGGCACTGTGACACAATACAATTATTCTTTTTAATTACAGAAAGTGTAATAGGACCGAGAAAAATCATTGAACCTTTCACATATAAAAAAATGTTGAGCTCTCAATTACGACGGACCGTAAGAAAATTGGCAGTGTCGACTATGTGTCCAATATTGTATAAAGAGTGTGCATCTAGTGACGCTTAAGAGTTAAAAATTAATATTAATACGTCATTCGTACTCAGTTATTTCACCTAGAATCTACAATAAATTAAGATACTTCGTTATGTATTAGAAATACAATAATATAAATTCTCGGTAGTTATGTACAATACTTTTGGTTGAATACCGCTGTCTAGCATGTTTGATTTATAACGTAATTACTTTAGTCTCTGTGCTTTCTACTCTGTTGGTAACATAATAGCATTATGTTTTATTCCTCGAGTGATTTATGACAACCGACAATCGAGCTTAACGTAAGTCCTACTGCATGCAACCGTTTACCAGTTCGTCCTGGAACTGACTTTCCTTTGCGTTCTCGTTGCAGGCATTCCAAGAATTCAACTAACGAGACGCGCGATCACTCGACGAGAATTCGTAAAACTTCAATCGACGTAACATGATGAAATTGAAACATCATTAAAATGCAAACCTCCACAACGGTGGTTACATTGAAAACATACCTCGCATTTATCTGCGATTGGAATGTATGCATATACGGACGATTGATGAAGAGAATAAAAATTCAGGTATATATTAAAAATTTACAATTTAAGAGATACCATGATTGAGAATAGTTCGGTGTAACAGAATGCGACCAATTAAGACCATACGAACAATTGCATGACGAAATAAACAATTAACGAGTATTTCACAGTATTATGAGGAAAAATTTAATCATCGAGTTCACAATGCTATTGTTACGTATTATACCAGTCTTGAAGGATTTTCTATTATTCAGACCGATTTTTAAGTTCATCGAGTCGATGACTCACCTGCGTTCAAGAAGATCAATGATTCGATCATCGAACTAGGCGATTGGTACCATTTTGTACTGGAATACGCGATCTTAATTTGCCCGCTGTGTCAACAAGTTGAGTAGTTCGTCGTGATCCATATTATTGAGTGTTTGAATGTCGATACCAAGGGCATTCGCGACGCTCTTCATGTCCAGTCCGAAACTCTTGAGCAATTCGATGAAGTCCATCTCTTCGCCGGTGAAGGGATTATGCAATTTTGGACAGCTGTGATTACACTGCGGCCAAGTGCATCTTTCTATAAGACGGAACTGACAACTCTGACCACAATTTCGTTTGCTCGAAGGAATTACGGATCGCTGTGGTCTGGTGCCATTCAGCATGGCCGTATGATGATTGTTGGCATTATGTTTAGCACCCTGTCTTCGGCCTAATAAAAAGATATAAATCATTAGTCCCCGTGCTTGAATTTATTAAATTTCTTTACTGACTTGCTTAAAGAGTCGTCTAGCTTATGTAGAATACAAATCATCAAACTCACTACCTTTCTTTCGTTCGCGTTTCTCCTTCTTGGCTTTTCCTTCCTTGTTTCTTTCGCGTCTTCGTGCCTTGTGCTTTCTCCGCCGCCTTTTCTTGTTCCCTCTTCCTTCAACGGAATCATTAACCATTTTTCTCTCGTTCACTTTACCAGCCATACCTGCAATATTCAATCGAACATCAGCGACCGTGGTATTCTTGCTAGGCTTTCCATTCTCTGCGACTGTACCATTTCCTTTAGTATGTCGCGAGCGCAGAAGTTTACGTGCTGATTTGGCACAGGGTTGATTAGTCTCGATTTGCGAGTGTGTGCTGTAGGTAAAATTTGTAATTATTTTCATAAAACATTTGATCAAGTATATCATTCACAATCAAAATATTATTCGAAACTCACTCAATACGTTTATTCCCAATCGATGCCTGTTCCCAGCAATGCAATGCCTGCGGCAAGGATACCTCATCTATTTTGACCAGCTGCCAGTCCCTCTTCGTCAAGACGACGTGACTGATACAGCTTGGAGCAAAGACAGCCGTGACGTTTTCAAAGGTTTGACGAAGACTGTCCCCCATTTTGTGGATATAGTCCCATTGTTGTTTGGTTACAGGAGCACCGACATTGTCGGCTGACATCTGTTCCTCGTCGAAGAGCCATTGAAAAACGAAGAGCGGCGCTATAGAACGTGGAGTGGAAGTACAATTAGAGAGGGCGGTTCCCAGGGTGGGTATATACCGTGTCGCGGTTTACCACGACGAAACCATATCGTGTTAGCTACCTGTCAGGGTTGGATAAAGCCTATAGCCAAAGTAACACTTCCAGGGCTCGTGAACATGCCTCGCAGCACAGTTGTGGGGCATTCGCGCTTTCCAAAGTTCCATTCCTTTCCGAGCGACGTCGGTCGGTGAAAGGTCATTGGGAGAGTACGGCGCTCTGTCCAGGAACCATCCGGAGTCGCTGATACCGCGTATGGCGATGTGCTTTAAACCTGAATGATCATGGGTCAAACGTGACTCCGATGCTCGATGAGCAACGAAAATGTCCCCGAGGCATTTTGTATCAATGCTATCAACTTACCGAGCTCGTGATGAATGAGGTTGTGGACGTGGTCCAAATTTAACATGACTCCCGTGCCTCCTGCGCTGCTACCAGCGAGCATCAGAGAACTTGCGTTCTCTAGTCCAAGAGGTATCAAGTCTCTTACCACCTGGGACACTATTTCCGCGCCCATGAAGGAGAACATGTCATTCGGAGAAGCTCTGGTACCGCTCCAAATATCACTGGTGCAATAGGGCACGCATCTAGAATGGTCCATCATATGGAATTAATGACGATGCTACGAACGGTATTGAACGTCCAATCTTTATGGATCGTTGGTAGTACTCACACGTGATTCGCATTCCACCAGAATGGGTTCTTTTCGGGATTCGCGGATAGGAGGCCTCCCACTGGAATTCAGATTAGATTATTGTTGGCGACTTTTTCCTTTAAACGAACCATTCGGCGAGTATCTCGGGAGGAATTTATAATGGAATCTGTGCATCTCGACCCACCCTCTCTCGTGACGGGCCACTGCGTCGACGTCATCAGATGCCTCAGTTTCAACCATCTCCTCCTGCAGCTCGTATGATCGTAGCAGTACAAGCCACCCTCCAGGAATATTATCCACCTCTTGGAGCCATGGGACTTTCTCAAATAGAATCCCGCCTGGGATCCGTCGTTACACGTGATGGATCTGTTACTCAAGTAGACCCTCTTAAGGCCACGCGGTTCCTCGGGTCCGTATTTCTCCAGAATTTTTATGAGCTTCTGAATGGTGTTGCTCTGGATCGCCGGAGAACCCGGGGACACCGAGACCGTGTTCGTCGGCTTGTCCTCGGCGGCGATCAGCGCGGCAAAGGCCGCGAGGCACAGTCCAATCTGAAAGAAAAATGTCACCCTGTACACATTCATTCAACAGTCCGTAAATCAGGAAGGCGATGCTCCTCGTCAGTTGAAAGACGCATCGTAACGCCTGCTACTTTATTATCTCAGGATCTCGATCTTGATCTCAAATAAATAGGATCTTCTCCTACGTAAAAGACTCCATTGAACGTTCTCTTCCCGAATAGAAAATAATTGACGCATTGTCTTTGGCATCCCTTCGGAAAGGTCGGCGTCCCCGTACACTCAGTGCTCCTTAAAGAGTATACCACACGACGGTCTATCCATGGTCTATGATTAAGGCCGTTCGCAATCAGCGTCCAATTTCCATAAATATTTACGACTATTATCCCAGCTCCCTCAAACACTCCAGTCATCCAAGACGTTGGCTAATGTATCCTGTGTTCTCTGATTTGAGAATGACTTTCTCCAGAAAAAGACGAGAGCCTATCCCTACGCGCCCGCAAGTCCAGACTATCGTCTTGTCCAGCCGACCGAAGATGTCCGTCTAACACAAGGTCTAACCGTAAGTCGCCTAGAAGGAAACATTCACATACGAATGAGAATACGTTTCTTGCCACGTCCGAAGAACGGATAGGACTGAACTGTGGGGCGTTGAGTAGCATGGAAAATCGCGGCGGCGCCTTTACTCAAGCCGACTCAGCGAGACACGGTTGAAATCTTTCTGTAATCTGATCTACGTATGCAGAGAAACGCACAAACAATATAACACCCAGTATATTATTGAACAAAATTTTCCAGCCTCGGTATCCCAATGCTCCAGGACATCGCCGAAGGAGATGATCCCGTTGAATAAAAATTTACGAAACGTCGAGTAGTCACGAGCAGCACAGGAAAAATAACGAAAGGCTGAATTCGTATCCGTTCCTAAGAAACATTCGCGTTAGTCACGTGATGGAACCCGAAGATTGTTTCGACTGATCGCGCACAGAGAATCGTCGGACGTAAAACAGCCGAAGATCAGAAGAGTGCCACTCGGCGGGAGAACAGGTTCCTCCGCTTCGGTACGGAGGCAGGACGATTTTTCTAGCTCGAAGTGCTTATTTTAAATGCCGCGACTGTATACAAGCAGAAATTTGTAACTCGCGGTACCCGCGTGACCCGGGAGCAGTTAACGCGTCATCCGGCTTTAATTATTCACTTTTCGAGCGCGCGTCCCAGTCAATTCAAAGAAAACGGCTAAGGAGTGCGCGCGGCTCGCGCCCCGTTGGAATAAAAATAAAAAAAGGGCCTCCCGCTAATTGGGGAACCGAGTGAAACGAAGGGCTGCGTAAATATTCCGCGGTAACGAGGTGCCGAGATATCTCGCTCGGGTGCGCGCTAAGTGAACATTTGCTGCTTAGCGCGCGTCGCGCAAGAGATAGCTGAATTTGCCTTTATTTACAGCGGCAGATTAAATAATCCTTTTCATGCCGTAACCACCGGCACCCTCGCTCGCGGTATGAGAATCCTTATTTATTTAGTTGCCACTTCCCGACCAACACTACCCCATGCTTTTATTCGTAATCATTCACGTGTTGCGGATAAACGCGTTGCCAATGCCAATGCCAATCTAACCAGTTGCGTGTAATTGTTAGATGCCTTGAGATTCAAAGGTTCCTTAACGATAGACTGAGAGCTGGCTGCGAGATGAATGGGGATGTCCTGATAACGGGACAACGGCGAAGGGATGAAGCAGATGGATATGGGGTTCGACTGCAGGTGAAGACGATCCCGTGGAGATGGTTCGGCGCTATCAAAGCCACGAGGGATCTGCGTGTAAGTAATATCGAGAAGCCGCAGCGTATCCGTCAGATTGAGGTACGCGAGCGAGGGCATCAGGCCCCGACATTAAGTACGTCGGTGTTCACTAAGAAGTCCAGTTGACGGGCTGGAGTTTGTCGGCACCCGGGGCGAGCCAGCGAAGCGCAGCAAACGAGATACGATACGACCTCAAGTCTCTGGCGCAATCCGGTAGCCAGTAGATTCATCACGCTACGCTACACCCAAGGTAATACCATGGTGTCCCATTATATTTGACCTTATTGTGACTTTTGTCCGTGGAGTCACATTCGAGTGAGTTAACGGTCGGGGAGGTTTTCTATTATTATTTTTTGCTCGCTTTGCCGCTGGATCAACGATTCGGAAGACTCGACGGAAGACGTATCGCAGTTATTCCGTGATCGGTAGGCCATATTGGAAGAGGACCTTATTGTTGTTGAGCTCGTTGAAGGGACACGAAGAGCCCGACTGCAAGACTTGGGTATAAGGCTAGAATCCGAACGTCGTAAAACTCATCCATCCGGATCCTTGGTACAGGTGGCGTTCGCCGTGGCCTGTCGGCATGTCTTTGCCCCTAAGATCTAAATGGCCGCACAACAATCAGCGACAATCAAAGTAATTGAAAACGCGCGCGCTCTCTAAGGCGATTAGGGTCAAGTTCCAGGACGGTAGCCGCCGGCGGAAACAGTGAAACAGAAGCTCGGACTCTCAGACTCCGGAGATGAAAGGTGCCGCCTGGTCCAAGGAGAAATGGAGCTGCGACGCAATATGATCGAGCATAATGGCCCGCAACAGATTAGGGTGTGTTCGCAAAACAATCAAATAACTTCCTTCGATTCGCCCGGATTAACCACAAGTTCCGTTCAGTTTCCGTGCATTTAGATTCTACGATCTAGTAAAATGGTGTTTGCTCCTTTTCGCAATTTTCAAAATATTCGTACAGATCATACTTTATTGTGGCATTGGCTTGATTTTTTTTTTTTTTTTTTTTTTCGTAAAATATTTTTGTGCTCTAATTTCAACCGGATTTTCTTCTGCGTCGAAAGAATAGTCACTTCGAATCCCGTGTTTTACCTTCCTCCAATAAATTATCATTACCATCACGATGTCTATGAGCGCTACAGATAATTCGTATTTGGAACGACGCAGCGTGGCCGTGCAATACTTGAAAATTCGTAGTTGCTATTAATTATGACGTGACAACGCGCAATCAGCGTCACCATTGGAAATGCTTCGAGTGTACAGTTGTATAACTATATATTACTGCGGCTTGGAACTGTACATAATAAGTGCATAAATAAGATAGGGCGTGGCACGTATTACCATTGCGCTAGTTCGATGCCACGAACATGATTATGGTATTGCGCCCATTCGAGCAAGCTCAACGTATTTCACCCGAACCATACGGTTTCTTTATTTCAGATATGTATACACGGAAGCACGAAGCAGCGGCGGGAACGCTTGAATATTTTAGAAATTCTTGTGATAACAGACCGTGACGTTTCGCCTTCGTGCTTTAGGAATTTATGGCATCACTTCGCTTGGAAAGATCCGTCGGAATTGCAGGGTTGATTACCGACTTGTTCTCGAGGATTTTACCGAGAGCGACCGTAGGGGGTCAAAATCTTGAAAAGCTTTCAGACTTTTCACGGTTCGATATGATCGGAGGGTCGCGTAATCCGATTTACGAATCCGCGTCGAATCCGAACTTTCAAGAAGGCCGTAAATCAAATTCTCCCGCGCTGAAGACTGTACCGTAGCCGACAGAACCGACATTCAGAAGTGTCCACCTTACATAACCTCTTTATTATGTCGTAAATCACTGGACCGAGGGTACGGTTTCGTTTATATCCCTGGGCCTAGTTTTGCCGCGCTCTTTTCGGACTTCTTCGTCGGGAAAGGAAAAAAAAAAAGGAAGCATCGAAATGGAAGTAAAAGAAAAAAAAAGAGAGAGAAAGGAAACTCTTTAAGACGCCGCAAGTACAGTGTTCCACGAGTGGCCAAACTACTCTCTCGCGCTTTAATATTTTTTGAGGAACTTTCGTCAGTTTTTGACTTTTCTTTAAAATAGACATTCTTCAGTAACACGAGTGAGAGTCGTTTTAATAGTGCATTCTTATAATCGTCTTATAAATAATTTTTTATTTCTTTAATAATTCACGTTCCTCTCTTCGTTTTAATGTTATCGACGTCAATCATCCGTCCCACTAATTTGACTAACCTCATGGTATATGTCGTCACGCGAACTCGTAGCGTCCACGTCGTATAATCTTATACAGGGGATCACCGATGAATGCAATTCCGATATTTAATAATGATAATCCCTCGATCGAGTTTTGCATATCGCAGCTTCCAATAAAATGAACCGCCACGGTCCACGGGTGTCACGAAGGTTTACGAACCTTCTAAGAAGTTACGGTCACTTACGCACAACTTCATCGTGCAACGAATCTCCGATGCCGGTGACATAGTTACTCGCCGACAAAAACCCGGCAAGGAATTTAATTGACGAAAAACACGACGGCTAACAGCGCCACATCTTCGTCTATCTTTGGTGTGACAAAGCGTAGCGCCCGTGCCCGAGGAATTCTTGGCTAGCTTGGCCCGTATAGATCGAGCGCAGGTATGTACGGTACGCGTGTTGCGGAGCGACAGGAACTTTTATTGACGTCGCGTCGATGGAAATCCAAAGTCGCTCCGAGTAGGACATAGAAATACAGTGGAGGACTTTAAAGGAGTCACGCTTCCATTAGCGCGGATCCTATTGAAACCGTGGTACGCGTGTCCCCGAGGTTGGAAGGTCCTTGGAAATTTTTGGGCCCGTCACGGGTACAGGTCGAAGGCGACTTAACTCATTGACATTTAATTCCGCAAGAAACCGAGCGCGCCCGAACCGAGTAGGTCGGCCGTTCGTTTTTGCCCAGTGAAAACAAGCCGGAACGTCCTAGTCGCTGATCGCTCCGACCATCCGTATCCCTCGAGGGACATTAGGGTTTCTAATCCGAAAGGTGTCCGTCATAATTTGCCACCGGGTGCATAATCCCCGTGACCGAGACCGACAAAGTGGTTTAACTATTCGGTAACGCGTATCGCACAAGTTCCGGTAGAGGGTAGCACACTCGCCGTACTAGAATCCTCCCACCGTCGACTCGAGTCTCCATGGCGCGCTGGGATGGATGGGCGAGGGGCTTTGCATAGGAAGCTTATTTTCTAGC